GGAGTTCCAGTGTCTGGCAGCTGCTTCACCTCATCTCGTGTCCGTACTGCTTACCCCTGAGGGAGACCCGGATGCACTTGACATCCCGACTCCGCGCTCTTACGCGGAGGCGATAGAGGGTCCCTACTCCTCTCAGTGGCAGGCAGCTATGGATGCAGAGATGGCTTCCTGGAAGTCCACAGGCACCTACGTTGACGCTGTCCCCCCTCCAGGGGCGAACATCGTCAGTGGCATGTGGATCTTCAGGGTGAAGCGGCCGCCGGGTTCTCCGCCTGTCTTCAAGGCGCGTTACGTGGCTCGTGGCTTCAGTCAGCGGCAGGGAGTTGACTACTATCAGACCTTCTCCCCCACCTCGAAGATGACCACTCTTCGGGTACTGCTGCACATTGCTGCGCACCGTGACTACGAGCTCCACTCTCTCGACTTCAGCACAACTTTCTTGCAGGGCAGCCTGCACGAGGAGATCTGGCTGCGCCGCCCACCTGGCTTCACTGGGTCTTTCCCTCCTGGTACCCAGTGGAGTCTCCGGCGTCCAGTCTACGGTCTCCGCCAGGCGCCACGTAAGTGGCACGACACACTGAGGACTACGCTTGCGGCTCTTGGGTTTGCTCCTTCTACTGCCGACCCGTCGCTGTTTCTGCGCACCGACACCTCTCTGCCGCCGTTCTACATCCTCGTGTACGTCGACGACTTGGTCTTTGCCACAGCTGACACTGCTGGACTCGCCTACGTGAAGTCCGAGCTGCAGAAGCGACACACGTGCACAGACCTGGGTGAACTGCGCAGCTACCTTGGCTTGCAGATCACCCGGGACAGAGCACGCCGCACCATTACCCTGACTCAGTCACACATGGTGCAGCAGGTCCTTCAGCGCTTCGGCTTCACGTACTCCTCGCCTCAGGCCACTCCTCTGCCTACTCGCCACTCACTCTCAGCTCTGCCTTCGGATGAGTCCGTAGAGTCGAGTGGCCCGTATCCAGAGCTTGTTGGTTGCCTCATGTACCTGATGACCTGCACACGACCTGACCTTGCATACCCTCTTAGCATTCTTGCACGCTATGTTGCTCCTGGGAGACACCGACCAGAGCACATGGCTGCAGCGAAGAGGGTGTTGCGCTACTTGTGCAGTACGTCGGGCATGGGGCTAGTGCTTGGAGGGCGCAGTCCAGTGGTCCTCACTAGGCACGCGGACGCTTCTTGGGCTGACGACCAGGCTACGCAGCGGTCGTCACAGGGTTACACCTTCAGTCTTGGTTCCGGCTCTGTTTCGTGGCGAGCTACCCGCTCGTCTTCTGTTCTCGGCTCTAGTTGTGAGGCTGAGATCTACGCCGTGGCTATGGCTGCCCAGGAGCTTCGCTGGCTCACCTACCTGCTGACCAACCTTGGAGAGCCGCCTCGTTCTCCTCTAGTCCTGTACCTAGACAACAAGGCCATGCTGGCCTTGTGTCGAGAGCAGCGACTGGAGCACAGGACAAAGCACATTGCTCTCGTTTACTTTCTTGCTCGTGAGCTACAGCAGCGTGGACAGTTGCGGCTTGCGTACGTGGCCTCTGAGGCCAACACTGCTGATGTTTTCAGCAAGGCACTTGCGCCTTGTGATCATCAGCGCTTCTGCACTCAGCTGGGTCTTGTGCATGTCTTGCCTCACTTGCTCACTTCTTGACCTTGCTTGTACTGTCACATATGTATACTCCTGCTCTTGCTTGCTTAGCCTCGTATATATATATATATATGTGCTCTTGCATGTGAACTGGCCTTTTGGCCTTTGAACTTGTGCTCGGAATGTGTGGTGACTTTGTGATCCACCCTGAGCTTTGCTTTGCTTTGCTTGACTGGTCTTGTGACCCCTTGTTCTCCCCCACTTTGCCTATGGGGGTGTGTCAGATGATTATAGCTTATGCTATTGTGTAGGCTATAGTGGGGTATCCCATAGGGGGTACAACCCAACTAGGGTTTCATATTTGTACTCGCTTCATTCATAGTTCACATCATTCTCGTTCTAATCTTCTTACCTAGTTTACAGTAGGGATAAGCAGCAGCACTTAGCAGATCTGGAAGCAGTATTTAAGGTTTTAGACGAGCACAGATTACTGACCAAGGGTTCCAAGTGCGAGTTCTTCCAGGATAGGTTAGAATTTTTGGGGCACGTTATTTCGGAGGCTGTAGTTGAAATCGACCCAAAGAAGCTGGATACGGCAAGAGCGCGCGCATCCCCCGACGAACATCACGGAGCTGCAGAGCTATTTAGGGTTTGTTAATTATGTGCGTCGGTTCGTCCCCGATATGGCACGGTTAACTGCCCCACTGATGGATTTACTGTGGAAAGGGGTCGTTTTTACGTGGGGGGAGAAAGAGCATGCTGCCTTCTCTGCCCTGAAAAATGTTCTCTGTTCACCGCCCGTCCTGCGCATCGCCGACCCACACCGCCCATTCGAAGTAGTTACCGACGCAAGCGACATCGCCATCGGAGCCGTACTGCTACAGGATTTCGGCAACGGCCTACAGCCTATCGCATACGAGTCACGAAAACTGCATCCGCCCGAGAAAAATTACCCGATACACGACCGCGAAATGCTTGCGATCGTGCACGCATTCAAAGTATGGCGCTGTTACTTGACCGGCGCGGACGTGACAGTACGGACAGACCATAAATCACTACAGTACCTTCGCGCACAGCCACACCTCAATCCAAGACAGATTCGCTGGCTCAATTTCCTCGAGTCCAACTTTCACTACACGATCACCTAGAAAAAGGGAGCCTCGAACATCGCCGACGCACTGACCCGCCCCACTGCCCAGATCCACGCAATACTACTCGCCCAGACAAGCCCGCTACTGACAGGCCTATTTACCCACGGGTACCAAACGGATCCATTCTTCACAGGAGGAAATTCGCAGCAGTTCGCAGCAGCAAGGGGAGTCTATTACGTAAAAGCCGGGACTGACTGCATTTGGGTGCCTGGGTATACATTGCTACGGGAATTACTGTTAAAGGAGGCACACGACGGAGTTACCTCGGGGCATTTCGGAGTAGAAGAAACACGGCAGCAGCTGCAGAGGTATTATTACTAGCCCGAAATGTTGACCGACGTACAACGACACGTGGCATCGTGTCCCACTTGTCAGCTCATGAAATCATCACGACAGCGGCCGGCGGGACAGTTGCAGCCGATACCACCCCCAGAGCGTGCTTGGCAGCAGGTGACGATGGACTTCGTCATGGGGTTACCGGCCGGGGCGAGTGGGAATGACGCGATCCTGGTCGTCGTCGATCGACTGACGAAAATGGCACACTTCGCAGCATGCAAGAAATCAATCACAGCCGAAGAAACAGCTCGCCTCTTCATCGCTACTATCATTCGATTACACGGGATACCAGCGGCGATCATCAGCGACCGCGACACGAAATTCACCAGCAACTTCTGGCGGAACCTGTGACCGCAACTGCAGTTCAGTGCATCATACCACCCCGAAACCGACGGACAGACAGAACGGACAAATCAGACCATGGAGCAGCTCATCAGGGCCACGTGCGACGACCTGACCACGTGGGAACAGCAACTGCCACTCATCGAATTCGCGTACAACAACTCGCCATCTGCCACGACCCAACAGTCACCATTTTACCTAAACTACGGACAAAACCCGACAGTACCCATGACCCCGAATCCCGACAACCCAGTACCACGAGCACAACAGTTCGCCGAAATATTACAAGCAGCACGGACCCGGGCAACAGACGCAATAAAAAAATCGAACATCATCGCTAAACGCAACGCCGACCGCCACCGCAGACCTGTCACTTACCAGCCCGACGACCTAGTTTTACTTGACACTCAGAACCTCCGACTGCCCATCACCCCAAAACTCCGCCCCCGATACTGCGGGCCATTTCGCATAAGCCACATGATTACGCCCGTCACCGCCCACCTCCTCCTCCCTGCTGACTGGTACGTCAGCCCCTCATTCCACGTCAGCCTGCTTTGCCCTTACGTCCCGTCCACGAGCCAACTGCCACGCAATCGCCCAGCCAGCATGACACGACCGCCGACTGAACCAATCATCACCCCCGAGAAGATTCTGAGTCACAGAGTTCGCGACCCTCGAGGAGCCCGAAGGATCGAGTTCCTGATCCGCTGGAAAGATCGTACACCCACCGACGACAATTGGGTTCCCCTGGACAGAATCGAAAACCACCCCGTCCTCACCGAGTATCTGCGCAGCCGAAACTTCCGGGATGTACACGCACTCTCGTAAGGAGGACCTCCTTAGGGGAGGGGGTAGTGTAAGGAAAATTCCTTTTCCTTCGCATCCCTGCTCAACGCGTATATCACTGTAGCACCACAGTCAGCACCGTTACCACTCGCAACCCTCACATCGACAATCCTCCCGCCACCTTCGCACGTCGCACCCCGACCTCACGGCTCGGCGGGTAACCCGCGCTCCGGGCCTCCGCTTCGACACTTTTCCCAACCTCAGTCCCAGGCCCGTCACGCGACAACCACAGTCCATTACCGTTACCACTGTAGTTTCGCTATATAGTCTTCGCTCATGCCTTCGCTCATTGTACACTTGCTTCGATAGTGCAATTCTCGTTCGTTCACTCAATTGCACTCGTAACATAAGCTCAATATAAACAATATTCAGACAAGAAAATCGATCGCGCACGCCTTCATACACTCGGGCAGCCAAATTCGCCCTGGGAAACACGATGGGCTAGAAGGGGGGTAGGAAGACCCTGGCAACAGCCGATATCGTTCAAGCTGCTGATCCACTAGCATCAGATTGTGTGAGTGAGCATGCAAATGTCTCCAAAATTATTATGGTGCATCAGCGTTACAACCACACGAAATAACCAAGGACTTCCTTTACATGTAGGAATTTGATGGAGGGGGGCTTAGGATTTGGGGCAGTGGTGTTCATTCAAAATAATTGGTGTGCCAACCAACATGGCTAAATGCAAGGGGTTGCAAGTAATAAGAAGCCCAGACATCTGAATATCACAAGTGTGCAGTATGAGTCTTGATCCAAGGATGCTCTGAAATGGGGGGCCATGGGGTATATAATGGAGAGTCAGAGGGATTGTGGTGGGTGGGGGAGGAAGGGAGGGTAGAAACGGAGGGGGAGCGTAAGGGAATGGAAAGGTGGGGGAGGGGGGGAAGGAGGGAGAGGAAGGAAAAAGGTGAGTGAAGAAAAGGGAGTGAAAAAGGATGACGAGGAATTGAGAGTTTGAGAAAATGATAAGACTCGAAATTCAAGTGATAAGGAGTGTTGAAGGAGGGAAATGATGCGAGGCAGAACAGAAGATAAAACAGGACTGGCGAATCAAGAGAAAGAGAGTGTTGGGGAGGGACACAACAGGGACAGATGGAAGCTGGCACAATGCAGCAGAGGGAGGATGGGCTGTTGAGGCAGAGGGAGGATGGGCTGTTGAGGCAGAGGGAGGATGGGGTGCAGGAAATGAGGCAGAGTGTGAGGGAGAGGAGAGAGCGATAACCGAGCAGCAGTGCTTAGTGAAAGGTGAACTTACCAAGCACAGCATCCAGTGTGATTCTCTCCGCTGGGTCTTTCTTAAGCATCTCTTTTATAAGGTCCTTTGCCTCCGTGGAAATGGAAGGCCATGGAGGGAAGGAGAAGTTGAGAGGCTTGGATACGATTGCATCCAGCACTCCCGATTCTGTGGAGGCCCAGAAGGGCGGCACGCCGGCCAGAAGGACGTATAGGACGACTCCCGCCGACCAAATGTCGGCCTCGGCACTGTAGCTCTTGTTGATCACTTCTGGTGCCATGTACATGTGGGACCCTATGAACTCCGTGAGCTTGGCGCCTGTGAGGGGGGAGGGACGAGAAGGACGGGGAAGGAACAAGAAGGGAGGGAGGAACAAGAAGGGGATGGAAAGGGGGTTGGGAGAGGAGCGAGTGAGAAAAGGCTGCTGCCATGTGAAAGAGACAATGAGGGCGATCCCAATGCTCAATCCCCAATGCTCAATCCCCAATGCTCTCAACCTAATGCCTCACCTGATTTGATCGTAGCAGCAATCCCAAAATCCGTGACTTTAACAGCGACGTCATCAGTGGGCGAGCAGAGCAGCAGGTTCTCGGGCTTCACATCGCGGTGCATGACCCCCAGGGAGTGGCACGCCCGCAGCACCAGCGCCAGCTGCTGCAGCACGGCGGCTGCGGGTTTCTCCTCGTAGCGGCTGCGCTGCTTGATGCGGTCAAAGAGGTCCCCTCCCTTGCAGAGCTCCATGATGATGTGCACGTGCTGCTTGTGGGGGGGGAGAGGAGAGGGGGGGGGAGAAGGGGTGGGTGGGTGTTGGGGGTACTTTTGAGTTGACTCAAAAGTCAACTCGCTGCTTCATGCGATCAAAGAGGCTCCCCGCCCTTGCAGAGCTCCATGATTATGTGCACGTGCTGCTTGTGGGGGGGGAGGGGAGTGGTGTGGGGGGATTGGGGGAGGAGAGTAGGAGGGAAAACAGGTCGTCTTGACTGCTTGATGTGATTTAAGAGGCCCCCACCACATGTGGATGTTTGGGGTTAGGGTGTAAGGTTTGGGGTATACATGCACCTACAATGCAACACAAACACCTCAACAGTCTCTTTCATCTCCGCCACAGGCGGATGTTTGGGCTTTATGGTGTAAGGCTTCTAGGGTGGAAGGCTTAGGGTATACACGCACCTATCATGCAACACAAATACCCCCGCGCACACACACACACACACACACACACACACACACACACACACACACACACACACACACACACACACACACACACACACACACACACACACACACACACATACCGTGTCATCTTCCACTGTCTCTTTCATCTCCACCACAAGAGTATGCCCTCACATCATCAGCCCCCTATGCCATACATGCACACACACACACACGCACACGCAATCACCCCTCCCCCCCCCCCCCCACACACACATACCGTGTCATCTTCCACTGTCTCTTTCATCTCCACCACGTGCGCATGCCCCTTCAGCAGCCGCATCACTGCCACCTCCTGCTGCAACGCTGCCACTGCTGCCTTGGTCTGTGAGGGTGGTGGGAGAGTAGGGAGTGGGGAAACGGGGGGAAGGGAGAATGGAGGGAGAGAGTCAATGCCCCTTCAGCAGCCGCATCACTGCCACCTCCTGCTGCAACGCTGCCACTACTGCCTTGGTCTGTGAGGGTGGTGGGAGAGTAGGGAGTGGGGGAACGGGGGGAAGGGAGAATGGAGGGAGAGAGTCAATGCCCCTTCAGCAGCTGCATCACTACCACCTCCTGCCTCAGCTATATTGGTGCGACTTTTGAGAATTCTCCAAAATCGCACCAGCTGCATCACTGCCACCTCCTGCCTCAGCTACCTTTGCATGAAGGGAGGCGTGGGGGAGTGGGGGAGCAGATAAATGGGGAAATGGGGGATTGAGGGAGACGTGGAATGGGGAGTGGGGGGATGGGCAACGAGGGGAGCGAGTGAATGGATGAACAGGGATAGAGGATTGCGTGGGCTGGTAAATGGGGGTTTTGGAGTAACTCGGGCAAACAACCCTTGTATTTCTCTCGCACCTGAATCTGCTCCTTCCAAATGCTCTTGCATGCCCATGTCTTCCCCGTCTCCTTCTCCCTCACTCCCACCTCTCATAATCAGTCGATTCGACACACACACACACCTGAATCTGATCCTTCCCAATGCTCTTGCACGCCCACGTTTTCCCCGTCTCCTTCTCCCGCACAGCCCGGATCATCCCATACGAACCGCTCCCAATCTCCTGCTTAACTAAGTACCGCTCCTGCAGAGAGCAAATCTCCCCGCCTAAAAGCCCCACTTTGGTAGGCCGCCAGGAGCCTATGATTCCCCTTGGAGACAGCATGCTCGATAAAAAACCGGATTTAAAGCCCGAGGACGGCGGGGTATGGGGCGAGACAGGCATTTCAATTCGTAATGGGCTGAGGTTCTGGTTGCTGCCATGGCTGCTGCTGTTGCTGCCATCCTTGCTGCTGCTTCTGCCTGGGGTGCTCCTGCTCTGACTATTATCAGCTGCAAGTGCAACAGAGGATGATTTCCCCCTGTCCTTGCTCCTCTCCCTCTCCTTCTCCCTCTCCTCCTCCTTAGTCCGCTCCATCCCCACCCGCCGCCCTTTCTCCCTCGCCTTCTCCCTGCCACTCCCGCTCACCACCACAGTCAAACTCCCCACACTCTCACCAGACTTTCGAAACCCCCCCTCTCTCACCCGCCCCCGCCCTCCCCGTCCCAGCCCCCCAGTGTCACCCACCGAGGCGTTATCCAAGCCCCCAAGGGGGTCTGCTGTGAGGTCAAAGCGCAGGTCGCCCTGAGACATCCCTCTTCTGTCCTTGGAGCTTCGCCAAGGGCTCTTCGCCCGGCTGCTCCTGCTCGAGACTTCGGTACCAGTCGCAACAGCAGAAGCAGAAGAAACACCACCACCACCAGCAGCACCACCAACAGCAGCAGCGATGGCAGCGGCAGCAGCAGCTGAAGCAGACAGCTTCTGCCGATGATCCTCAAAGCAAGACGAGCCTGCGCCTGCACCCGCACCTGCTGCTGCCTTCAAATCCAGCTTCAAATCCATCACCGTCGTCTCAAAATCGGGCAGCAAACTTTTCTCAGCTGCCCGGAACGAGGTCCCGCCACCCTTCCCCCGGGACCTTCCCGGCGTGATCGCGCCGCGAACCTTGGATGCATCAAAGGCTGCATAGCCTGCGAGGGCTCCAGCAGCAGAGGGCTTGATAAGAGGATCAGAGGGGTCACCGCCGCTGGTGGATTTGAGATCGTTAGAGCGGCGCATGGTGGCGTATACCTTCTCGTTGCTGCGAGCCAAGGCACTGTCTCGCTTGGAGAGCTTTGAGAGGACGTCTTTCCTTCCTCTCCTCTCCTTCCGTTCCCCGCCCTCCTTCCGTTCCCCGCCCTCCTTCCGTTCCCCGCCCTCCTTCCGTTCCCCGCCCTCCTTCCGCTCCCCACCCTCCTTTTCTTCCCCATCCCGTGCTCTTCTCAACTCCACCTCATCCTTCTCTTTGGGTTGCTTCCCCCCTCCATTGTCAGATACCGTACACTCCTTCTCCTGCTGCTGTTTGCCCTCGTTCCCTCCTCCTTCCCTGCTTCCTTTCCCTCTCCCTCCCTCCGTGCGTCTTCCATCTTCCTCCCTCCCTTCCCGGCTGTCGATCTCCCTGAAAGAAGCTCTGCCTCGGGAACTATCCCTCTTCCTCTGCTCTCTCCCTCCATCTTTCTCTCCCCCCCTCTCTCCTCCCCCATCTCCTCCCTCGTCTCCTTCCTCATCCTCTTCCCTCTCCTGCAACTGCCTCATCAGCAACATCTCAGCTGCACCTGCCTGCCTGCCACTTCCCTTCCACTCGCTTCTCCCCCTCTCACCTCCCCCTTTCTCTCCTATCCCCGTCTCCCCTTCCAACCCCTCCATCCCCTCATCTCCCTCCTCCACCCAGCACATCTCCTCATCCGCACCTCTCGACCGCCTCCCCACTCGCAGCTGCCGCAGCCGCCGCTCCCGGCGCCGCCTCTGCTGCTCTTTCTCGTCATCAGTATGATTCCTTAATAACGAGTTCTCCAATAACGAGGCCTCGCCCTTGGAACTTCTGCCCTGCCCTTCCTTGAAACTTCTGGGGCTTCTTCGCCTGCTCCCTGTCGGGCTTTTACCAGGAGATTTCCCAGGAGTTCTAGGGCTTCTGCTCTTAGCCACCTCACCTGCACTCCCCACTCGCACCACGATCACTCTCCCCCCATCCTCATCATCCCCCTCACCCCCCTCGTCTCCTTCATCCTCATCATCTCCACCTTTCAGAGGAACAAGGCTTGACACCCATTGCTGCACAACCCCCCGATTTGCATCATACCTCTCCTGCTCTTTCTCCTTACCACTCTCCTTCCCTCTCTCCCCCTGTCTTTCCCCCAACCGTCCCCTCCCTCTTTCCCCACTTTTCTCCCCACCTCTCTTTCCCCCTCTCTCCTCAACCCTGCCACGTGTGCTGGTCTCATCCTTGCCACGTGTGCTGGTCTCATCCTTGCCACGTGTGCTGGTCTCAACCTTGCCATCCATTCTCACATCTGATTCGCTGTCGCTCAATCCCACACCCTTCACCGCTGCTTCGATATAATCACCCACCGCAAAACTAACAGCTGATTTCGCACGCCTGTGCCTCCTAGATGCTGCTTCTGCAGCAGCAGCAACACTGGAAGCACCAGCGCCAACAGCAGAATTAACAGGAAAACCAGCTGAAGTAGCAGCAGCAGCAGAAGAAACAGCACCCGCAGCAGCAGCAGTGTCTGACCTACTATCCTTCCTGGAACCTTCTTCAACGTCACGCCCAGAAATACTGTTCTTTCTGGGGCCAGAACTGTCTGATTGCTTCAGGCTTCGAGAGGAAGCAGAGGCTACCAACCTCCTGCTGCTGCTGCCGCTGCTCCTGCCACTCACATGCGCAGCATTAACACCTTCCGTGGGGCCAGAAAAAGGGGCAGAAGAAAGGGCGTCAGGTGCTGGAAGCAGGGATGTAGCGGGTTGGTCGGGGGGGAGTGGGGCATGACGCGGGGAAAGCAGCAAACGGGAGAGAGGAATGGTGTGGTGTGGGTCAGTAGGGGGGAGAGAGAGAGGCGAGAATGCAATGGCATCCATGCTTTTATTTGAAGACCGCACTCGCAAGCGATCCTTCAATTGGGACCATAGGTGCCTCCCAGACGTATCAGGCCTATCAGGCTTATCCGGCTCTACCTCCTTCATCCTATCCTCCTCCTCCTCTTTCTTTTGCTCCTCGCCCTCCCCCTCCTTCTTCTTCCCTCTCGCCTTTGCTGTCTCATGCTTTCCCCCCCTTTCCCTCTCTGCTTCCTTTTCTACTTCCTTCGCAGCTGCAGGCTCCCCAGCCTCGATACTGTCCGACTTTTGCGGCCGTCCTGTAGCATCTCTTACTCTAAACGAGTCAGAGTCTTTAAAGGATCTGTTTCCTTGGCTCCGCATTCTAGGAGTTAAAGCCTCACCCTTGGGATTGGTTGAGCTGAAAATGGATGTACCTGTTTTGGGTGTACCTGCCCTGGGTGTACTTGCCTTGGTTGTGCCTTCTTTAGGTGTACCTGCCCTGGGTATACCTACTCTGGTTGCACCTTCCCTGGGTGTACCTTCCCTGGGTGTACTTGCCCTGGGTGTCCTACGCGAATCAATATCTTCGCTCTGACAAGCTGGGACCTCCACGGACAATCTCCTGCTGCCACGTGGCGTGGCCCGACCAATAGGAGGAGGGGGAGAGAGAACGCCAACAGAGGAGGAAAATGGAACAGCAGGGTGGGGGGAGTGGGGAGTGTGAGAGCGAGGAGAGGGAGGAATGGGGAGAGATTGGTTGCTGCGAGGAGAAGGAGGAGGAGGGAGTGACTCGTTGCTGAGAAGATGATCCACTGGGATGGCCTCTGCAGACGCCCACAAACGGCGGAGAAGCTGCGAGGAGGGTTCCTTAGGAGTGCCAGGAGATTTTCCAGGTGTGTGAGGTGCTTTGGACGTGCTTGGTGCTTGCTTGAACTTGTGGCTACTGCTGGTGCTGCTGCTGCTGCTGCTTGTGGTGGCAGTGGCAGTGGTGGGAATGGTAGTAGCAGCAGCGTTGGTGGTGGTGGTACTGCCGCCGCCGCTACTGCTGATAACGCCGCAGAGTGAGGTGTCGAAGGGAGGGTGGAACATGCTTAACGAAGGGTGGGGAGGAGGATGCACTGAAGGATGGAGAGAACGGGGAGATGATGCACCCATGGTGGTGGCATTTACAGTGAAGTTGAAGGGTTCCGCAGGAATGACAGACTGAGAAGTGTGCGGCGGCTGCTGCATGCTTTGCACGCCATGTTGCTGCTCCAGCTGCTGCAGTTGTTGCTGCAGCTGTAACAGCTGCTGCTGCACCTGTTGTATCTGTGGGTTTTGAATCTGCTGCTGCTGCTGCTGATGATGATGATGATGATGATGATGCTGCTGTTGTTGTTGTTGCTGCTGCTGCTGCTGTTGTTGCTGCACCTGCTGCATCTGCTGCACTTGCAAGTGCTGAATCTTCTTCACACTCATCATCATCATCTGCTGCTGCTGCTGCTGCTGCTGCTGCTGCTGCTGTTGTATCTGCTGCTGCTGATAAACCACCACCTCACTTCTCGTCCCATCACTCCCCAACGGTTTACACACCGTTAAAGCCACTTCCCCATCTTCTTCCCTCTCATCCTTCTCTGATTCCTTTGCCCCTTCCATTTCTTCTGCAACTACATAACTCGACGCACTCCCATCCTTTGAGTTTCGAGAGCTCTGCGACGTCGCAATACTTGCCACACTCCCATCACTTTCCTCCAAAGACTCGCCGCCTGCTACTCTCTCTCTCCCCTTGCTATCCCCCACAGCTGCAGACATAGATTCCTGGGGCGCCTTGCTACCCCCAGCAGCAGCAGCAGGCCAAGACTCGTGCAAATCTTCAGCATCAGGCGTGACCAGCCCATACAGGTCCCCCTGAAACTCTCCGCTATCACATGCCCCTTCTGCATCCCACACTTTTCGCAGAAGCTGAGAGGGAGACGCTGGGGAGAGAGGGAAGGAGAATGGCGAAGGGGGGGCTAGAGGGTGGGAATGCGCGGGGGGGAATGGAGGGTGGAAAGGGAAGGTTTGGTAGAGGAGGGAGGGGGGAAGGTGTGCGGATTGCAGGTGGGGAGATCCTGGTGCTGGAGGGAGGGAGGGAGGTAAGTGTGGATGAGACGATGAGAGGTGCGGCGAATCACGATTCGACAAATTAGGGTTTGGCCAACAGGGGTGGGACGGTTCGGGATTCGAGATGGATACGCGCATGGGCACAGGCATGGGCACAGGCACGGGCATGGGCATGTGCATGGGCATGGGCATGGGCATGGGCACAGGCGTGGGCATAGGTTTCTGAGGAGGGCTAGAGCTGACTTGGGGGAAGCTGATCTGCTGCTGCGGGAAAGCTTGAGGGGAAGCTAGAGTGAACGGTTTAGAAGACGGGGCGCCAAGTGCTAGTGGGGATGGAGGATGGAGTAAGTGATGCTGCCATGATGGATACGGAGCAGTAGAAGGAGGGGCAGAGGCGGGGGGATGGGCTGAGAGGAGCTGCTGCTGCTGCTGCTGCATGGCCGGGTTGCCTTGAGGACTCAGCAGCAAGAGCGTGGCGTTTTGTGACGCCTCTGCTGCTGCAGCCGTTGCTGCCATTCCTGCTGCTGGTGGTGGTGTTGTTGCTGCTGCTGCCGCACCTTCCCCTGCTGTTGCTCCACTTTCCCCAGCCGACCCCAGCCAACCAGCGGTGAGTGAGGGCCTCCTGTAAACTAAATCATCTCCCGTCTCCTCTTGTTCGCCCTCACTCCATTCCTCCCCTTGTTTACCCACCCGTTCCTCCCCAGTGCCATCCCTCTTCCCTCCCCCTTCTTCTTCAATCTTTCCCTCCGCCCCTTCTTCCCTCCCCTCCTCTGTTCCGTTCTCCCTCATATCCTCCCTCCTCCCTTTCCCTTTCTCCTCCCTCCCTCCCTCAGCCTCCCTCTCCGTCGCTCCCTTCCACCCACCATCGTCCCCCTCTATCCTCGTCCGCCTGTCTTCTCTGTCCCGCCTAGCTCCTTTCTCCTTGCTTCTCCTCTCCACCTTCACCCCCTCCCCGCTCTTCTCTTCAACCCTCTCGTTATTCCACTCGTCCTTCCTGTTCACCCTCGCCCCGCTCCCTGCCTCCGCAACGGCCGCGTCTCCTGCAGATCGCATCGCTTCCCCGGCAACCCCAGGGGAAGCATCCCCCACGCGCGGCGACACAAGCCCGCCCGCGCCAGGCGAGCGTTCAATGGCGGAGCGCCATTGGTTCGCGCTCTTGTCCTTCCCGCCGAGGCTAAGACTAAGGCCAGCCGTCTCTCCAGTCCTTCGATCTACGAAGCTCGCCTGGACCAGCTTCTTCTGTCGCCGCCGCAGCAGCAGCAGCTGCTGCTGCTGCTGCTGCTTCTCCTCTTGCTGCTGCTGCTTCTCCGAGATCTCGTCCTCCTCTCCCTTCTGTTCTACCTTCACTTTTCCGTCACTCTGCCCCGTCGCCATCCCCTCAATCGACAGGGCTCCCCCAAGGTCTGTCGCATCCGCGCTCGCCCGCCGCGCTCGCGCGGAAGAGCCGCGCGAGGTATGCGTTCTCCCCCCCACTGCTCCGCTCGCGGGACTTGCGAAAGCACTCGAGACCTTGCGCCCGCGCGGGCTGGGCGCATGGGGAGCGTCCGCCACGGAAGCTGCGCTTGTGCTGGAAATTGCGCCACCTGGAGAAACCCCTTCCGCCTCGCCGGTTTTCCGAATGTTAAACGAGCGCAAGCGCTCGTGCGCCCAATCCGCGGCGGTGAGGGCGTCAGCGTCGGACTGCGCGCGACGGTGGCCCGCGGGCTCTGCGCGGAGCCTTCTCGCCGCCGGACTTGCCGCCGCCTGCGCGGCTGATGCTTTGGCTGCATCAACTGCGCCGAGCAATAATGTGATTCCCACCTCGGCATTATATAGATCAACGGGAACGCTGGTAGCGGAGTTCTGGCTGTTCATGCTGGTGGCCCGCCGACCAAACTCGTTGTTGCTGCCTCCGCCGCTGCTGCTGGTGGTCACAACGCTGCTGCCGTTGCTGCTGCCGCTGCTGATGATGACGCTGCTTCCGCTGTTACTGCTGGTGCGAGGGCTCGTTTCTCCGTGCTTTTCGTTCGGCGGAGGGCCGCTAGGCAAATCGAGGTGTATTTCCGGGAAAGATGCGCGCTTCCTGTGCTGCTGCGACTGCTGTAGCGTGGGAGGAGGTCGCTGAAAGCTCGCCAGTCGCCGATAACCAATCTCACGACCGGTGCTTTCCTGACGGTCAAGCGGTTTCTGTCGGGTTTCCACATGCGAGAAGCTTTCTTGACGGAGATATCGAACCTGACGGCCACGCAGCTCGTCTGGGTGACCCTGACGGTCAACACTCTCGTGGCCATTCAAGCTCTCTTGTCGGTTGAAGCTCTTCTGACGGTTACTATGGCTCTCTTGTCGGTTGAAGCTCTTCTGACGGTTACTATAGCTCTCTTGTCGGTTGAAACTCTCCTGACGGCTATCGCTCCCCTGTAGGTCGTAAACCGAACAATGTCCCGAGCTACTAAAAGCGACGCGGGATGCTGATGCGGGAATTCCTCTCCGTTCTCGCGATACTATCACAGACCCCTCATGCGCGCTGCAAGATTTCCCTGGGAGATGCCTCTTAATCTTTTCATGAGAACCTGGGGCATGATCAAGTGATGCAGTCGTCTTCGTCGTCGTCGGAGGCGTCGTCTGAACGACATTCACGCCAAGCGTCAGCCGGCTCTCGCTGGTTCCAGGGCCGTCATTGCTGACGGACTCGCCCAGTTGCTCGCATTCTCCGTCTTGACTACCGTCTTGTTCATGCGTCACCGGAAGAGCATTCGAACTGGTAGAGCTATATGTAGGAGTGTGTCTACTACTACGTGCAGTAGCATTACTAGACGTGCTAGTACGTGTACTAGAACTACTACATAATTTATTTGCGGTGCTGGTGATGGCCTGGTTTCGGGTGGCTTGCGGTCGAACGGCCCGCAAACTATTAATGCTGTCGTTCGTAGCAACCCTAGCAAGCACTGCGTCGCCGTCGTCATCATCATGACGTTGATCTTGGAGATTGGAGAAGGTAACTTCTGGAGCGACTGACCGACGAGGCGATTTGGGGACCTTCAACTCCGTGGAGCTGAAGACGTTAAACGACGCGGACCCGCGTGGACTCTTAGAAGGTGCCACGCGACGCGGCGATGGAAGCGCCGGTTCGTGAATCTGAATCGGAACTCCCTTTCGCGATTCCTTCCTAGACTGATCGTGAAAGATCAACGCTGAATCTCCTCGCTGGTTAGCCACTATCTCAGACATTGCGTAAAGAAGGCAAGTGATGGGATAGTCTAATGTCCAAAAGCTGCGGTTAAGAATATATGACCAGATTTACTGGACTACAGATGCTATGAAAGAAAAAGTATTTGAAGAACTTCTTCGCCTCCTGCTGTTTATGAATCGAGTCAAAATATGAAGTGTTGCTGAGGAGCAGGTACTGTATGAGCAAGCAGGACTCATTTTTTGTCGTGACTGAAATGCTCGTGAGTGAACATCCACTGAAGTTGTCAAATCGATGTACACACGATGCCCGGTTGAGCCCCCCGACCTCGGCCTACCCTATGGGCCTATCGTGCGCTCGGCCCAGCCCTGGGCCAGGCTGGTGGGCCCGCACGCGCGTCAGTCGCCCGCCTCGTCATTCTCGGCTCCGACGACCCCCCTCGACGACACTGGCAAAACCGTTCCGACGACCGAATTCCGATGAGGCTTTCGGGCCTATAAGTGATTCTTGCATTTCGTGGAGGCTTCGTTCATTCGCGTCAGGCAAAAAGGGCTTATAAAAGAATTTGTAACTCACCGCTGACTTTTTTACTGCAGTCTCATCAGTCAGACTTCCGTTTCTGGCTTTCGTATTGGTCAACGTGCCTGTAACGTAGGTGCAACTTCGCGGCAGGAAACTCACGGGTGCAAGGTTTCTGGAATGTCCAAGGCAATTTCGCGTGCAGGGGTTGGGCATCATTTGTACACCATTCTCTCTCACGCCATTCCCGAGGCATTGCGGTCCCCGCCCTAGAGTGAAAGACATTCCCTAGGGACAGATGGATGGATCCCATTCCAACCCAACCCGTTTCACTCCCGTGTGGGGGCATTCTCAAGGTGACAAAAAGGTGTTTGGAGGATTCAGGAACGGTGGAAGGACCATAATGCATTGTGTGCTCTGTGGGAAGCAGAGGGGCTTGCAGGTGTGCAATCATTTTTATTGGTCGATAGGATCCTATCATCACTGGCTGGAGCGAGTGAAGTGAAGTGAACATGTGAACAACAGAAAGTCCCGTTTCGACTCGTGTGACGCGTGTTTGCAGCGGCGTCCGCGCTTTATGCCGACATCGTGGCAGCTTGCAAAGGAGAAGGCAGCTGTCGAATCTGGTAGGATACGTGTACAGTACATTTGCGTTGCTGCAGTGTTCTCAACTACGTGCGATACTGGCATCCTATTCGATGTACATGAGTCGCCGAACCTTGTACTACCGTAAAACATTGTGAAATTTACCTCTCAACAAAGATTTATATCTCCGGGATAATTTCATCATCTACACATTCTCACACCGACGATACATCGCATATTTACAGTCACCCCCCTCTATACCTCATATCACATCAATTGGCAAGCGCCATGGATACAATAGTCCTCATCGTGGCAACCGCCAAAGCTAAGCTCACAGTTCGGCAACAACGCCATCTCACAAGCCCAGCCACCCTCAGCTTGAATGCACCATGTGCTCAGCCCTCATTACATCGGTATCAATCGCTTTAGACCACTCCGGAAGCTCCCGAAACTCCAGAAAATGTGCAACCACGCCCAGAATCCGGGGATCTCGAAAATACGCCCCGTGATTCAGGTCAAACTTTCCTGTGAGCTCCTTAAACCGGTCCTCAATCATCACACACAGCTCTTTAATCTGCCTAACAGACTCCTCCGGGGTCAGTCGGGGATTCCGCCACATTTTCTTGATTTCAGGCTTGAGGCACTGGTAAGTAAGACACTTAGCAGCTGCTTCATCCAACTCCTTATCATCCCATAAATACTCATACAGAAGTTGCTCCTCCCCGTGCGTCTTCCCCTCTGTTGCACCCTCATTCACACTCCCCATGACATGCCCCAAGTTCTCAGCTGCGCCGCGTTTCTCACCTCTCTTCAGCACTTCACCATTCTTGGTCGTGCTATCGTGCTCCTCTCTCCCTGCCGGCTGCTTAGATTGGTGCTCTGCCCAACGTGTCCGAGTGTGAGAGTAACAGGGGTCAGCGGAGGATGAGTCCTGACTTGTGCTGAGTGGGAGGAGAGGACGCTCAGGAGTTACATCTCCGGCCGTTACATGTCCACGGGTTTCATCTCCATGGGTTTCATCTGCACGGGTTTCATCTCCCCGGGTATCGTCTCCGAGTGTCCTCACGCTCTTGAATGTAACGCGCCGCCGCAGCCGGCTCGCACTGCGCTGCCATTGGCCGGCAGAGGCACTGAAAGACGGCTCTAAAACGGGGCGGTAGCGACTTTCTTTGTCCTTTTCCTCCCCTGCCCCATTGCTGCCTGCTACGGCAGCTGCCCCTGCTACAGCCGCTGCCCCGGCTACAGCCGCTGCCCCTGCTACAGCCGCTGCCCCTGCTACAGCCGCTGCCCCTGCTATAGCCGCTGCCCCTGCTATAGCCTCTGTACCTGCTACAGCCGCTGCCCCTGCTACAGCCGCTGACCCTGCTATAGCCTCTGTACCTGCTACAGCTGACTCCTGCTGTGATGCTACTGGTGCTGCTGCCCCAACACCTGGTGCTGGTCCCACCCCACCCACACCAGCCGTGTTTTGAGTCGACTCAAAACACCTCTCTGCCACCTCCTGTCTTGCTGACCCCACCCCACTCACACCAGCCCCTACCTGCTGCACCCCTCGCCCATTCCTCCAACCCTCTCCTTCCCCTTCCCCATCCCTTCTTGAATCTATCTCCCCAGTCCCTTCAACACCCTTACCCTTTCCTCTTCCCTCACCCTTGATACCCTCCCCATTCCTCCCATCAACAATTTTTCCAGGTACCCCTTCCTCAGATAACCCCTCCCCGAGTAGCCCTGCCTCAAAAACCGCCTCCCCCATGTCACAGGTGTCATCCTCATACCCCGCCATCAGCTCCCCCTGTAGAGAGCGCGTCTTTGCCAGTGCCAGAAGTTTCTGAGAAGGTGGGAAGAGGGAAGGGGAGGGAAGTGGGAGTGGGAAGGGGAGTCGGAAGGTGGAGGGAGGGAGGAAGGAGAAGGGAGCGAACGAGGGAGATGGGAGGGATGGGGAAGGAGGGCGGGTTTGGCTGAGCTGTCAAGCCAACGGCTGAGCTGTCAAGCCTACGGCTGAGCTGTCACTGAGCACACAGTGTGTGAAAAGTTACAATTGGGGGTTTACCTCACACCCCACGAAGTCAACCCCACGTTCCAAGAATTGCAAAGGGAGTTTCTATGCCCCCATCCCTTCACACCCCATCCCCACCCACCCACCCACCCACCCACCCACCATCCCTCACCTGCACGTTTCAGTGCTCCACGTGTTGGGACGACAGCCGCAGGTGGAGCACCTCGTCCATGAAGACATGAGCCGAGAGCAGAGCACACCAGACCCCTGCTGCTTCCCCTGCATGCTGCACGGAAAGCACTTACATCCCCACCTCACCCCTCCCAACTGTCTCTCACCTGCACGTTCCAGTGCTCCAAGTGCCGAGAAGACAGCCCCAGCTCGAGAGCCTCGTCCATGAAGACATGCGCGAAGCTGAGCTCGTTCTGCGCCAGCCCACTAAGGTACCTGCTGTTTCTGCTGCCTTCAGCAAGGGAAATCCTTACACACACACACCCCTGCCCACCCACCATCCCCTCACCTGCACGTTCTAGTGCTCCACGTGCTGCGAGGAGAGCCCCAGGTCGAGATTCCTGAACCCCCATTCCCCCACCACCCACCCACCCACCCCACCCCTCCACCCAACCCACGCAGCCGTCCCTCACCTGCACGTTCCAGTGCTCCACGTGTTGGGAGGAGAGCCCCAGGTCGAGAATCTCGTCCATGAAGACATGCGCAAAGCTCAGCTCGTTCTGCGCGAGCCCAAAGCTGATCACCACAATTACGTTCCTCACCGCGCCTATCACCAGCGGCGCCACGATGTGTGACAGTAACGAGAGGATGAGAGCAGGGAGGATGAAGATGATGTTCCAGAGGAGGATGCGGCCGAAGGATGCGATGTAGAGCAGCCAGTCGAGAGGCACGGCGTCGTGAGGTGGGAACTGGGGGAGGGGCTTCCAGAAGGGCAGCTTCAGCATGTTCGCCAGGTGCGGGAAGACATAGGCTCGGGCGATAGGCTCGGAACTGAGTGCCAGGCTGGCCTGGTTTGGAGTGAGGAAGGGGAAAACAGAGCGAGGAAGGAGTGTCAGGAAAAGAGGGGAAGAGGAGGCTGGAGGGGAGGTGCCAGCACAGATGCAATGGCTTTTCAGAGGCAAAACTGATACGGCATTTCTAAGGCAAGTATTGGTGTGAAAACAATTGGTTCCAAAAGATGAGGGATGCGAAATCTCAACCAGCAAGAGCGGGCCCGGGGAAGAGCCCGGGAAGAGACCGGGAAGAGCCCGGGAAGAGCCCGGGAAGAGCCCGGGAAGAGCACGGGAAGAGCCCGGGAAGAGCCCGGGAAGAGCACGGGAAGAGCCTGGGAAGAGCCCGGAAAGAGACCGGGAAGAGCCCGGGAAGAGACCGGGAAGAGCCCGGGAAGGGACCGGGAAGAGCCCGTGAACAGGCCGGGGACAGCCTGGGAACCTGTTCCTTATGAAGGGGAGAGTTGACAGGCCGGGGATCGGTTCACCAGCCCACTTTACCCCTCCCATCAGGCCCAAATTGTAGACGGGAGATGAGAACTGGTTCACCTCCCATCTCTCATTTCTCATCTCCCGTCTACAAATTTTTAGTCTTCGCATCATCTACTTGGCGATAGCCTGAGGGGAGAGTTGGCAGGAGGGTCGAACAGAGTGGTGTGGGACGCTGGTGAGAATCAATATCTCACCTCATCCAATCTCACCCCATCCAATCCCACCCCATCCAATCTCACCGCATCCAATCTCACCGCATCCAATCTCACCTCATCCAGCTTGCCAGCGTGGACAACCAGTGCTGACATAGCATGCGACCAATCAAAGTCGGGCGAGTGGTAGATGTTTCCGCTGTAGAAGGCAGTGCTGCGGGACACCTGGAGGGATGAGGGGTGCAGTGCGGTGATGAGAGGTTGCATCAATAAGAAGAGAGTTAGAGCTTGGAAAAGCAGGTCAGTCGGGCGAGTGGTAGATGTTTCCGCTACAGAAGGCTGTACTGTGGGACACCTGGAGTGGGTGGGAGATGATGGAAAGGGGTGGTGCAGTGCGGTAATAAGAGGTAACAAGAGGTTGCTGTAATCAGTGGTAGATGCTTCCGCTGTAGAATGCTGTGCTGCGGGACACCTGGGGAGGGTGTAAAGGAGGGGTGGTGCAGTGCGATAATGAGTGGTTGCAGTAATAAGACAGTGCGGTAATCAGCGGTAGATGTTTCCGCTGTAGAAGGCGGTGCTGCGGGACACCTGGAGGGGGGAGACGATGGGGAGGGTTGGTGCAGTGCGGTGATGAGATGATGGGGAGGCGGAGGATGGAAAAAAACAGGCTCACAAGGGGTTACTAGGGTGATGAGAAGGGTGAAAAGAGCAGGAGGTAAGAGGGGTGATAGGAGTGAGACGGGTGAGACCATTCTCAAGTAAGTGAGAATGGTCAAAAGGAGTGCAAGTACAGAGGAAGGAATGGAGCAAGTAAGTGGAGAATGGTGGCGAAGACAAGGATGAGCGTCGATGCGATCAACAAAGTTAAACAAGGGGCATCCATGCTGAAGGGGCTGAGTGCGGTAACATGCGGTGCCGCGGGCGGGAGCGCACCTCGATGCTGACACGGAGGGCGTGTCCCACTTCGGGTCAAAAGTACTGTTCATGTCATCCGAGATTCTTGGAAGACAAATGGTATTCCAGTAGTGTAGCCAAAATGCGCCCTATTGGTTGTCCAAGAATCTCGGATGACATGGACAGTACTCTTGACCCAAAGTGGGACACGCCCTGATGGTGGCGAAGACAAGAATGAGTGCCGATGCGATCAACGGCGTCAAGTAAGGGGCATCTTCTGGGTTGAGTGCGGTAATATGCGCGCGGTGCAGCGGGAGCGCACCTCGATGCTGACACTGATGGTGGCGAAGACAAGAATGAGTGCCGATGCGATCAACGGCGTCAGGTAAGGGGCGTCCAGACTGAAGCGGTTAAGTGCGGTAACATGCAGTGCGGAGGGGGATGGGGAGGGGAGGAGGGGAAGCGGGAGGGGAAGGCGGTGAGTTGGGGGGGTCGGGGGCCGGGGAGAAGGGGGGTTGGAGGAACAGGGCGATTATTGATGTCGAGTAGGGGGGGGGCGAGCATGGCATAGCCCCCCTTTTTTGAGGCGCCTTTTTGAGGCACCTCAAAAAGACTTTTGAGACGTCTTTTGAGACGACTTTTGAGACGTCTCAAAAGTTGAGGCACCTCAAAAAGAGGAACAAGGCGATCAATGATGTCGAGTAGGGGGGGGGCGAGCATGGCATAGCCCCACATCCCGCATGCTCTCAGCATACCTTCCCAAGTGCTCTGAGCATAGCGATGTGACTTTTGAGTCGACTCAAAAGTCACCTCGCAGCCCACCTGTTCGCTACCGACAGAACCTTCCCCAGTGCTCTGAGCATAGCGATGCGACTTTTGAGTCGACTCATCACTGAGGTGGTTTTTGAGGCGCCTCAAAAACCTTCCCCGGTGCTCTGAGCATAGCCAGCATAGTGCTCTGAGCATAGCCCCACTCCACATCACAGCCAGCATCCCGATATAACTCCCCCGCACCCACATTTGAGTAGACTCAAGACTCACCTTTTGCGAGCAACAGCGCTGCGAATGGTGTAGGAGACGAGCATGGCATAGCCCCACATCACATCACATCACAGCCAGCATCACAGCCAGCATCACCAGTCTGGGGGCGTGCCTGGGAGTGTTCTGTGCCTGGGGGTCATACCTGGTTGCTTGGTCTCTCTGTGCATACCTTCTTTCAGCAACGGCACTGCGAATGGCGTACGAGACGAGCATGGCAGAGCCCCACATTACATCACATCACAGCCAGCATCACCAGTCTGGGGGCGTGCCTTCTCTGAGATGGTACTGCACGCATGCAGCTCACTGAGCCATGTCCGGATCTCGCGTGGAACTCTCTGAGATTAGTTTTGAGAATTACCTCTCTGAGATTAGTTTCGAGAATTACCTCTCTGAGATTAGTTTTGAGAATTACCTCTCTGAGATTCTCAAAACTAATCTCAAACAAAATGGGGGCGTACCTTCTCTGGGTCTGGGGGTCATACCTGCTTGCTTGGTTGGTCTCTCTGTGCATTGCATACCTTCGTTTAGCAACAGCGCTGCGGATGGCGTACGAGACGAGCATGGCATAGCCCCACATCACATCACAGCCAGCATCACGACAATACTGGCCACCGTCGCCAGCACGAGCCTGCGCACTCCATTCCTTTCCCACTTCTTGACATAGAAGGGCGTGCCCAGGAACACGAGGCAGCCCAGGGCGTTGGAGAGAGGGGAGGTGGCAAGGCGGTGGGAGAGGAAGAGGCGCTGCCGCTTCACAGGCAGGCCCAGAAGGGAGTCCAGCCAGCGATAGCGCCCCCAGGGGTACTGCTCCTTGATGCGATTAGAGACGTTGCCACCCGTCATGCTGTGAGAGGGGGGGCAGTGAAAGGGAAGGAGGAGAGGAAGAGACGCTGCCGCTTGGTGGGCAGCCCCAGGAGGGAGTCGAGGAAACGGCATCGCGGCCCCCCAGGGGTACTGCTCCTTTGAATTTTTTCATGGTTTCTTTTTTCACTAGTTGACTATCGTCCCTTTGCTAAAGGCGATCTTGCCTACTGCTGCCCTTCTTCGTGAGCACAGATCCAAGGGAGGGGATGAGAAGAGGTCCAGCAGGGAGTCGAGGAAACGGCATCGCACCCCCCCCCCAGAGGTATTGCTCCTTCCCGCCTGTCATGCTGGCATGGGGGGCGGGGGCAGGAACGGAGGAGAGGAAGGGGTGGGCGAGGGAAGGCCGCAGCTTCTCACCCTGGGGAAGGCACTGCACTGCACTGCCCTGCCCTGCACTGCACTGCCCTGCACTGCACTGCCCTGCACTGCACTGCACTGCCCTGCACTGCCCTGCACTGCAAGAACCGCCGCCAACCTCTTTCAAACGCAAAGCCGCCTCACCTTCTCATGACCACAAGGGCCAGGAAGAACCGCCACCAACCGCTTCTAACCGCAGTTTCCCCCTTATACAGGCCTCCTCACCTCACCTCACCTCACCTCACCTCCTCATGACCACAAGGGATGGGAAGAACAGGCGCCACCCAGAAGGCCAGTCCACCTGCCGCCACCTCTTGATCGTATCAAATCCGCGCCTGTATGCCGCCCAAAACCGCTTCCTGATGCCCGGGGGCAGCGTGGAGAGCGACAGTGTGGGCAGCCTCTTCATGTACTGGCGGGGGCGGGGGGGGAGGCAAGGGAGGGTGCAGTTGTGGGCTCTGCTCGTGCTCCTTCACTTCTGTGTGGGCTCTGCTAGTGCTCCTTCACTTCTGTGTGGGCTCTGCTAGTGCTCCTTCACTTCTGTGTGGGCTCTGCTAGTGCTCCTTCACTTCTGTGTGGGCTCTGCTAGTGCTCCTTCACTTCTGTGTGGGCTCTGCTAGTGCTCCTTCACTTCTGTGTGGGCTCTGCTAGTGCTCCTTCACTTCTGTGTGGGCTCTGCTAGTGCTCCTTCACTTCTGTGTGGGCTCTGCTAGTGCTCCTTCACTTCTGTGTGGGCTCTGCTAGTGCTCCTTCACTTCTGTGTGGGCTCTGCTAGTGCTCCTTCACTTCTGTGTGGGCTCTGCTAGTGCTCCTTCACTTCTGTGTGGGCTCTGCTAGTGCTCCTTCACTTCTGTGTGGGCTCTGCTAGTGCTCCTTCACTTCTGTGTGGGCTCTGCTAGTGCTCCTTCACTTCTGTGTGGGCTCTGCTAGTGCTCCTTCACTTCTGTGTGGGCTCTGCTAGTGCTCCTTCACTTCTGTGTGGGCTCTGCTAGTGCTCCTTCACTTCTGTGTGGGCTCTGCTAGTGCTCCTTCACTTCTGTGTGAGCTCTGCTAGTGCTCCTTCACTTCTGTGTGGGCTCTGCTAGTGCTCCTTCACTTCTGTGTGGGCTCTGCTAGTGCTCCTTCACTTCTGGTATCACCCAACTGCGCCAGTCCTGCTGCATTCCCGGGTGCAGCGTGGAGAGCGACTGTGTGGGGAGTTGACTGTGTGGGGAGTTGACTGTGTGGGGGGGAGTTGACTGTGTGGAGGGGAGTTGACTGTGTGGGGGGGAGTTGACTGTGTGGGTGGGAGTTGACTGTGTGGGGGGGAGTTGACTGTGTGGGGGGGAGTTGACTGTGTGGGGGGGAGTTGACTGTGTGGGGGGGAGTTGACTGTGTGGGGGGGAGTTGACTGTGTGGGGGGGAGTTGACTGTGTGGGGGGGAGTTGACTGTGTGGGGGGGAGTTGACTGTGTGGGGGGGAGTTGACTGTGTGGGGGGGAGATGACTGTGTGAGGGGGAGTTGACTGTGTGGGGGGGAGTTGACTCTGTGGGGGGGAGTCGACTGTGTGGGGGGGAGTTGACTCTGTGGGGGGGAGTTGACTGTGTGGGGGAGAGTTGACTGTGTGGGGGAGAGTTGACTGTGTGGGGGAGATTGACTGTGTGGGGGGGAGTTGACTGTGTGGGGGGGAGTTGACTGTGTGGGGGGGAGTTGACTGCGGCTGTGAGCTCCACGTTGCCTCCATCCATGCGGTTGACTTTTGAATCACCTTCAAAATTCCAACCAAGGCCCAGGCTCTAACGAGCAGCTATTGAATGCTGCTTGAACCTGGGCTTTAACTGCGCGTTCCACCCAGCCCGATTCTAGATCTGGGCTTTAAGCTCTAACCACCAGGGATGTGAGCTTGATGGCTTTGAGCAGCACGTTGCACCAATTAGATTGAACCTGGGCTTTAGCTAACTTCTGGGCTTTAAACAGCACTCACGAGCTCGATGGCTTTAAGAAGCACGTTGCCTCCGTGGGAGTGAGCAATTACATGGATTCGCGCTGAGGGGTCCCTGCGAGCTATCAGGTCCAACAGCCGCGCCAGCTGTGGTGAAGTGAAGGGAGGGGAGAGGGAGGGGCGGAGGGAGAGGTGGGGAGGGGAAGCGGATGGGGGAGTAGACTAGACAGGAGCGAGCAAGCACGTGGATTCGCGCTGAGGGTTCCCTGCGAGCAATCAGGTCGAACAGCCGCGCCAGCTGTGGTGAAGACGAGAGGGGAAGGGGCCGAAGGGGAAAAGATACCGGGGGGGATTTTGAGTCTGCTCCTGCAAGAAGGGTCGCTGCAATCTGTCCCAGCAAGCCGCGCCATCTGTGTTAGAGGAGGAGGGGGACGCGGTTCGAGCGGAGAGGGGAAGAAAATGGGGCGGAGAGGGGAAGAAAATGGGGCGGAGAGGGGAAGCAAATGGGGCGGAGAGGGGAAGCAAATGGGGCGGAGAGGGGAAGCAAATGGGGCGGAGAGGGGAAGCAAATGGGGCGGAGAGGGGAAGCAAATAGGAGAGTAAACAGGAGTGGGCAATGACGTGGATTCGTGCTAAGGAGCTGGACACTCGAGCAAGCTGTGTTGAAGAAAACGGGAAAGAGAACAGGGGAACGAGCCACGACACTCTCCCTGCCCTGCCTCCTCCCTGCTTCGCCTCTCTCCCTCTCTGCCTTCCTTCTGTCCCTTCCTGCCCCCCCATTCTCCCTGCCCCTACTCCCCATTCTCCCTGCCCTACCTCCTCCCTGCCTCACCTTCTCTGCAGCCTTCACGCGGCCCTCGTGTGTGTTGCTGCCGTCCCAAAAGAACGGGTAAGGCACGTCACCGTCCATCATGCGCTGCCATGACTGGCCCCCTTCCTGCGACGCAGCACCTCCCTGCGACTGCCCCTTCTGCGACGCAGCACCTCCCTGCGACTGCCCCGTCTGCGACCCGCTCCTGAAAACCTCAGATCCCTGCGACTCTGCCCCCTGCGACTCTGCACCTTGAGAATCCGTCGCGCGCGGAATCGCCCGCCAGACGCTCTCCGCGCCGATGGGTCCGCGCGCCAGCAGCGCGCCCATCTTGGCGCAGAAGTTCTGCTCCCCGGGCGCGGGCGGCTGGTACCACGTGCGTGCGCCGTCCGCGGGCGGCGCGTCGAATGTGCCGTGAACGACGATCACGTAGTCCGTCTCGCGCCGCGCGTTGTGATCCACCGTGCGAACTCGCACGCCGCCCGCCTCGACGTCGCTCGTGGTCGTAAATGCGTCGCAGGCGACGTCGCCGGCGTCGTCCGAGCGAGAGCTGGCGACGTCGCTGGAGTCATTTTCGGCCGCCAGTCGTCGAAAGTCGTCGACATGATGTACCTCCCGCGGTTCGCGCGGCATTTCCAAGAAAATGAGTCCGCGCCGGGAAGTTGCCGAACGCGCCGGCGCTGGAATCGCATGTGGAAATACTAGAATACACACACGACAAGCGGGTTGGACATATCTGAGTTCGTTTGATGCGAGTTAATACGGTCAACCACGTTCGGAAACGGTATTTGGTGTAATTAAACCGGTGAGCAGTATAGCTGTTTTTATAGCTCTTGAACGTTACTTAAAACCAGGGTCTCACGTAAGGAAAATTGTCAACTGCAAAACAATTGATGCTGAGTCACCCTGTTTGAGGTGGCGAAGTCTAGGGATTGGTCTGGCAATTGACTGTGCGACAACCTGACGTTTTTGCCTCTGAAGCAATTGCAAAACATTTCCCTGGTACATGAGACTTTCGGGATGTTCGCACAAATTGCTGGTGTTCTAGCTTTGGCACCGAACCAATTTCCGTGCCTGGTTGGCTCGGACACAAACTGCGATTTGTGTTTCCTTCGCACCCCTCGCCACACCCCTCGTCATTCTTTACACCTCGCCATCCAATCCTAACCAAGGTCAAGTCATCAACTGCAAAACAATTGATCTACGTGAGACCCTGGTTTTAAAGGCGGGGTGCAACTTCTTAGGAACAGTAGCAGGACAAACATGGAGTGTGCGTAACGAGACCCTTATTGGATGAAAAAAATGGAATCTCGGAAAAGACAAACTTCTCGCCACAGAACTGCCTGGGACAACCAAGTTCCAAGCTATAATACTTCGAAGTTGAAGCTGATAGTTGGGCCACGGCTTTAAGTGGGTAAACATTCTGAAGTACACTGTTATGAAGCCCATTCTTCTGACACGCTCTGACAACCGTCAAAGCTCGTGTCGAGCCGCTTCTATTCACGGACGGATGTCGTCGACCCCGTCACGCCACCTTCTGGTGCCCCTTTTCAGAAGATAGGGCACTGACGGATGTTGTTGACGGACATAGCCAGAATCACACTTCCTTATGTACACACCTTTCTGAGTAATGTCCCTTCCGTTCATGTAAAATCAAACAAAAACGGACGGTGATTTGCTGCCTAGGCAACTAGCATAAGAAGACTGAAAACAAGCTCACGCCTGGTTATTATGGGAACAGAGACGGCTGTTGTGATTTCTTATCAAAGCCTCCAGAATTTAATTCTGGCGATGTTGTGGCACCTGTTAACTAGCATATTTGGTGGTAAATTCATTTATTATATTTCAATCGACAACGAACTCTGCCCAACAAGCTTATTTCTCTGAGCAAAAAAAATACAGCCATGGAAGGCATGAACCTCCTAAGGGATTTGCATACAATCATGGGAGGCATAGATCTCATAAGGGAATGGCATGCAATCATGGGAGGCATTAACCCTTAAACACACTGTCGCATGATATTTGGGATTGACGCCCCACTTTGGATAGCATGCATTTGAGAGGGTCTTAGCTGTTTTATTTCCTCACTTGTCGGAAGAATCGAAGTTATATCAACCCAGCTAAATCGGACCATGGTCAGTTTTTTTGTTGAAATATTCTGAAGTTTTCTTTCGGGGCGGAGTCGACTGTCCGTCGGGGTATGTCTACTGATATGCGGTAAGAAGAGAATAGTAGTAAATGTGTGATAATAACTAAGACGAGATAAAAACTGTTCGGTTCTTAATCGTGAATTCTCCCTTGATCTTCCAGACTTTCCCAAACCGCCAACTCCCCCTTCGACTGTCCCAGTTTAGAAAGTCTCGACAGTGGCTGACTGGCGACCATGACTGGCGACCTTGATCTTCCCAAGAAAGCTGACTGGCGACCATAGCTTCACATTGCCGAGCCGTAGCGTGAAAAAACAAAACACTGATACACTACCGACCTTCGCTAGAAACATCACTACTCGGTTGGTTACGGAACGTGTGCAATTTGCAACAGCAGTGCAGCGGGGCGCCGAAACTGAGCAGTTTCAACGTTTTTGGATAGTTTTTTCCTCTTCTGGCCCAGCGTTAGCGTGTAATTCTGGCGCTGACGTGTTCATATCTCCCCAGCGCGAATTAATCTCCTTCGGGAATGCCGCGTGAACCGCGGGAGGTCAGTCATGTCGACGACTTTCGAAGACTGGCAGCCGAGAACGACTCGGAAGACGTCGCCTATTCTCGCCCTGACGACTCTGGTGACGTCGCCTGCGACGCATCCACGGCAACGAGCGACGTCGAGGCGGGCGACGTACGAGTTCGCACCGTGGATTACAACGCGCGGCGCGAGACGGACTACGTGATCGTTGTTCACGGCACGTTCGACGCGCCGCCCGCGGACGGCTCGCGCACGTGGTACCAGCCGCCCGCGCCGGGGGAGCAGAACTTCTGCGCCAAGATGGGCGCGCTGCTGGCGCGCGGACCCATCGGCGCGGGGAGCGTGTGGCGGAAAATTCCGCGCGCGACGGATTCTCAAGAGGCAGCGTCGCGAGGAGGTGCGTCGCAGAGGGGGTCGCAGTCGCAGGGAGCTGCAGCGTTGCAGGAGGGGGGATCATGGAAACGCGTGATGGACGGTGACGTGCCTTACCCGTTCTTCTGGGACGGTAGCAACACGCACGAGGGGCGGTTGAAGGCTGCAGAAAAGGTGAGGCAGTGAGGAGGCAGGGGCAGGAACGAGGAGGAGGAAGGAGCTGAAATTGCGGGGCTGAGGAAGCAACACGCACGAGGCGCGGTTGAAGGTGGCAGAAAAGTTGAGGCGTGGAGACGGTGAGGCAGGAAGAAGGTGCGGTTGGGAGAACGTGCGGCACGCCGGCACTTGAATGCGGCAGCGCGTTGAATGCGGTTGAAAAAATGAGGCATTCTTTAATGTATGCACGGTGCAAAATAAGCCCAATTGTTAAGTTCAAACAACTTATAAACTGGGAAAAAAATCCAGAAAGTATTTGCCAACTGATTAGTGGTTCTTCTGGTTTGTCCGGATCTTTTCTCTTCCTTGGGTTTGGCCGGATCCTTCCCTCTATCCTTTTCTTGCTCAATCTGTTTAGAGAGAATTCTTATAGAACAGATTCCATCCCTCTGAGGTTTTCTCTTGCTCCTTCCATCCCCTCGTCTCCACGTTCCCATTCTCTCCCCTCCAGCACCTCCCTACCAATGGTCCCACTTATAGCTCCTCACCCACCCCTCTACGCGCATGCGCGTCCTCGTTGCCCATTTCCGTGTTGTCCCCCCCTTTTACTCCCCTTTTGCTCATCTAACTCCCCCCTCCCCCTCCTCTTCAGCACAGCTGGCGCGGCTGTTCGACCTGTTAGCTCGAAGAGACCCATCGGCGCGCATCCACGTGATTGCTCACTCCTGTTTACTCCCCTGTACTTCCCCTCTCCCCTATCCCGCTCCTCCCCCCAAACTTCCCCTCCCCTCACTCCCCCTCCTCTTCACCCCAGCTGGCGCGGCTGGTCGACCGGATAGCCAGCAGAGACCCCTGTACTTCCTCTCTCCACTGTCCTGCTCCCCTTCAACCCCCCCCTCTCCCCTCCCCCCCTCTCCCTCTCCTCTTCAACACAGCTGGCGCGGCTGGTCGACCTGATAGCCAGCAGAGACCCCTCAGCGCGCATCCACGTGATCGCTCACTCCCACGGAGGCAACGTGCTGCTTAAAGCCACCGAGCTCGTGAGTGCGAGTTAAAGCCCTGGTGCGAGCTAAAGCCCAGGTTCTATAGGTCTTCAATGGGAGCTGGGAAGTCGTGGGTGCTGCTTAAAGCACAGGCGCAAGTTAAAGCTCAGGTCTCAGGTGTGAACATGGTGACTTGAAAGCCACAGAGCCACTAAGAACCCCCACCACACCGCCCACTCTGAGGTGATTTGAGAGGTGATTTTTGAGGTGATTTGTGAGGTTATTTTTGAGGTGATTTGTGAGGTTATTTTTGAGGTGATTTTTGAGGTGATTTTTGAGGTGATTTGTGAGGTTATTTTTTAGGTGATTTTTGAGGTGATTTTTTAGGTGATTTTCGAGGTGATTTTCGAGGTGATTTTTGAGGTTATTTTTGAGGTGATTTGTGAGGTGATTTTTGAGGTTTTGAGGTGATTTTCGAGGTGATTTTCGAGGTGATTTTTGAGGTGATTTTTGAGGTGATTTTTGAGGTGATTTTTGAGGTGATTTTCGAGGCGGTTTTTGAGGTGATTTTTGAGGCGCCTCAGAAATCACCTCAATGCACTACGAACCCCCACTGCACCGCCCACTCTTCTCCCACCCTTTTCCAACCCCCGCGTCCTTCTTTCTTCCGTTCCTCCCTCGTCGTCCTCAAACCTCGTGATAGAAGTTCGGCTATGAGACGTCTCACAACGCAACTTTTTGCACGTGGGTTTTTCAACCCCCACCCCTTTCTTTCTTTCTTTCCGGTCTCTCTCCATACCGCGCCCCTTGCCCTCCTCCTAACCACCCATTCTCCCCCATCGAACCCCTCCCGCCCCTCTCCACCCCTCCCCACCCCCCCGCCAGTGCATGAAGAGGCTGCCCACACAGTCGCTCTCCACGCTGCACCCGGCGGTGCAGCAGGGCTGGTGCAGTTCGGTGCAGTTGGGTGATACCAAAACTGAAGGAACACCCCTATCATGAAGAGGTGCAGTTACGAATACTAACAGAGCCCACAACTGCACCCCACCTCCCCCTCCGCCAGTACACCAGTCTCACTCCACGCTGCACCCGGCAACTAACCATCCCTTCCCCTCCTCAACCCACTCTCCCCCCCCCACCTTCCCCCCTCCTTCCCTCTCCCCCCCCACCAGTACATGAAGAGGCTGCCCACACAGTCCCTCTCCCCGCTGCACCCGGCCATGGAGCAGGATTAGCAGTAGCAGCACCCATCTGCACCCATCTGCACCCATCTGCACCCATCTGCACCCATCTGCACCCATCTGCACATCTTCCCTCTTCCCCTCTCCCCCCTCACCAGTACATGAAGAGGCTGCCCACACAGAAGTGAAGGAGCACTAGCAGAGCCCACACAGAAGTGAAGGAGCACTAGCAGAGCCCACAACTGCACCCTCCCTTGCCTCCCCCCCCGCCCCCGCCAGTACATGAAGAGGCTGCCCACACTGTCGCTCTCCACGCTGCATCCGGCCATCAGGAAGCGGTTTTGGGCGGCATACAGGCGCGGATTTGATATGGTGAAGGGGTGGCGCCAGGTGGACCGACCCTCCGGGTGGCGCCGGTTCTTCCCGTCCCTTGTTGCTATGAGAAGGTGAGGAATAGAGAGGTGAGGAATAGAGAGGTGAGGAATAGAGAGGTGAGGAATAGAGAGGTGAGGAATAGAGAGGTGAGGAATGGAGAGGTGAGGAATGGAGAGGTGAGGAATGGAGAGGTGAGGAATGGAGAGGTGAGGAATAGAGAGGTGAGGAATGGAGAGGTGAGGAATGGAAAGGTGAGGAATGGAGAGGTGAGGAATGGAGAGGTGAGGAATGGAGAGGTGAGGAATGGAGAGGTGAGGAATGGAGAGATGAGGAATGGAGAGGTGAGGAATGGAGAGGTGAGGAATGGAGAGGTGAGGAATGGAGAGGTGAGGAATGGAGAGGTGAGGCTTGAATGGTCCTTCATTGAATAAAGCAGGCAATACAGCGCAACATAACAGCACATTATTGAGTCGACTCAAAAGTCACCTCGTTACAGTGGCATACTTCACCTCGTTACAGTGGCATACTTCACCTCGTTACAGTGGCATACTTCACCTCGTTACAATGGCATACTTCACCTCGTTACAATGGCATACTTCACCTCGTTACAATGGCATACTTCACCTCGTTACAATGGCATACTTCACCTCGTTACAATGGCATACTTCACCTCGTTACAATGGCATACGTCACCTCCCTCCCCAGATGCCAGCATCACAGGCTGCAGGCCTGCAAGCTGCTGCCTTCCCGCCACACCCCCCCCCTCAACCTTCTCCCTCTCCCTTAAGGCACCAAGGAGCCCTACAAGGCACCAAGGAGCCCAGCAAGGCACCAAGGAGCCCTACAAGGCACCAAGGAGCCCAGCAAGGCACCAAGGAGCCCTACAAGGCACCAAGGAGCCCTACAAGGCACCAAGGAGCCCAGCAAGGCACCAAGGAGCCCTACAAGGCACCAAGGAGCCCAGCAAGGCACCAAGGAGCCCTACAAGGCACCAAGGAGCCCTACAAGGCACCAAGGAGCCCTACAAGGCACCAAGGAGCCCTACAAGGCACCAAGGAGCCCAGCAAGGCACCAAGGAGCCCTACAAGGCACCAAGGAGCCCTACAAGGCACCAAGGAGCCCTACAAGGCACCAAGGAGCCCTACAAGGCACCAAGGAGCCCTACAAGGCACCAAGGAGCCCTACAAGGCACCAAGGAGCCCTACAAGGCACCAAGGAGCCCTACAAGGCACCAAGGAGCCCTACAAGGCACCAAGGAGCCCTACAAGGCACCAAGGAGCCCTACAAGGCACCAAGGAGCCCTACAAGGCACCAAGGAGCCCTACAAGGCACCAAGGAGCCCTACAAGGCACCAAGGAGCCCTACAAGGCACCAAGAAGCCCTACAAGGCACCAAGGAGCCCTACAAGGCACCAAGGAGCCCTACAAGGCACCAAGGAGCCCTACAAGGCACCAAGGAGCCCTACAAGGCACCAAGGAGCCCTACAAGGCACCAAGGAGCCCTACAAGGCACCAAGGAGCCCTACAAGGCACCAAGGAGCCCTACAAGGCACCAAGGAGCCCTACAAGGCACCAAGGAGCCCTACAAGGCACCAAGGAGCCCTACAAGGCACCAAGGAGCCCTACAAGGCACCAAGGAGCCCTACAAGGCACCAAGGAGCCCTACAAGGCACCAAGGAGCCCTACAAGGCACCAAGAAGCCCTACAAGGCACCAAGGAGCCCTACAAGGCACCAAGGAGCCCTACAAGGCACCAAGGAGCCCTACAAGGCACCAAGGAGCCCTACAAGGCACCAAGGAGCCCTACAAGGCACCAAGGAGCCCTACAAGGCACCAAGGAGCCCTACAAGGCACCAAGGAGCCCTACAAGGCACCAAGGAGCCCTACAAGGCACCAAGGAGCCCTACAAGGTACCAAGGAGCCCTACAAGGCACCAAGGAGCCCTACCCCTGGGGTCACCATTGCTGCCTCGCACTCCCTCCTCTCATCTCTTCCCTGCCTCTGCCCCTGTCCCCCTCTCCCCCTCTCCCCCCCTCCCCCTCTCCCCCTGTCCCCCTCATTCCCTCACAGCATGACAGGCGGAAAGCTCTCCCACGGCACCAAGGAGCAGTACCCCTGGGGGCGCTACCGCTGGTTAGACTCCCTCCTGGGCCTGCCTACCAAGCGGCAGCGCCTCTTCCTCTCCCACCGCCTCGCCACCTCCCCTCTCTCCAACGCCCTGGGCTGCCTCGTGTTCCTCGGCACTCCCTTCTATGTCAAGAAGTGGGAAAGGAATGGAGTGCGGTGGCTGGTGGTGATGACCCTGGGGAGCGTGGTGCTGATGCTGGTGGTGATGTGGGGTTACGTCATGCTCATTGGTTACATCCTGCGCAGCATTATCGGGCATGAGAAGTGAGTGGAGGGAGGGAAGGAGGGAAGGAAGGAAGGATGTGATGTGGGGTTACGTCATCCCCATTGGCTGCATCCTGCGCAGCATTATCGGGCATGAGGAGTGAGTGGTGGTTTGGGACGCAACTGCAAGGTATTTGCTCCTCTCCCTTCCGCCCTCACATGCCGTGTCCCTCGGGGTGTTTCTTGTTCCTGGGCACGCCCTTCTATGTCGAGAAGTGGGAGAAGAATGGAGTGCGGAATGGTGTTTCTCGCAGCATTGTCGGGCACGAGAAGTGAGTGAGTGGGTGCCGGGTCTGTGTGAGCTGTGAGAAGTCCCAAGGTGCTACTGCTTGTCATGCCATGCTGCTTGTCCTGCTATGCTGCTTGTCATGCCATGCTGCTTGTCATGCCATGCTACTTGCCATGCCATGCTGCTTGTCATGCCATGCTGCTTGTCATGCCATTCTGCTTGCCATGCCATCCTGCTTGCCATGCCATGCTGCTTGCCATGCCATGCTGCGCTTGCCTTGGCGGGTGCATTGTAGCGTGGAGCTGATTCTGGTGGTGAGTGGGTGTGCGAGTAAATGGGGGAGTGTGAGTAAATGGGTGTGTGTGAGTAAATGGGTGTGTGTGAGTAAATGGGTGTGTGTGTGAGTAAATGGGTGTGTGCACTGCTGATGCTGCTTCGCATCCCATGCTGCTTCTCATCCCATGCTGCTTCTCATCCCATGCTGCATGTCATCCCATGCTGCTTCTCATCCCATGCTGCATGTCATCCCATGCTGCTTGTCATACCAGCATGGCAGAGGTAGGCAGCCTCTTGAAACGGGGTATCCCTTACCTATCCCATCTCAACAGTCCTTCCTTCCTTCCTCCCTTTCCTCCCGCTCCATTCCCACCCCATCAGACTCGCATTCCCCTACGTCACGCCATTCCTTGCCTCGGCCCTCATCTTCTTAACCTTCCGCCCCTTTCCTCCTCCCTCTCTCTCCTGCTCCCTTCCCACCCCATCAGATTCGCATTCCCCTACGTCACACCATTCCTTGCCTCGGCTCTCATCCTCGTGTTTGCAACCATTAGCATCAGCATCGAGGTATGTTTCTCACCGCACCAAACCATACCACAACCTCTTAGTACCGCACTGCACCACCCTGTCAGACCGTGTTTCTCCCACTTCATGCCGTTCATTGCCTCGACTCTCATTCTCATGTTTGCAACCATCAGCATCAGCATCGAGGTATACTGCCCAGTGTTGCACCGCACCTCATATTACCGCACTGCACCACCCTGTCAGAGCCGAATTTACCCTACTTGAAGCCGTTTGTTGTCTCGGTCGGCTCCCACTCTCACTTTTGCCACCATCAGCATCAGCATCGAGGTATGCTGCCCACTGCAATGCACTGCATCGCTCATCACCGCACTCAACCTCTTGTGACTGCCCTGCACTGCACCCAATATTGCCACACCGAAATTCCAGTGACTGCACTACACCGCTTACTACTGCAACCACTCATCACCGCACTGCACCTCCTCTTCCCATCGTCCCCCCCCTCCAGGGTCCACGAAGCACAGCCTCTACCGCTGATTACAGCAACCTCTTGTTACTGCAACCACTCATTACCGCACTGCACCTCTCCAAGTGTCCTGCGGCACAGCCTTCGACAGCGGAAACATCTACTGCTGATTACAGCAACCTCTTGTTACCTCTTATTACCGCACTGCACCACCCCTTTCCATCATCTCCCACCCACTCCAGGTGTCCCACAGTACAGCCTTCTGTAGCAGAAACATCTACCACTCGCCCGACCGACCTGCTTTTCCAAGCTCTAACTCTCTTCTTATTGATGCAACCTCTCATCACCGCACTGCACCCCTCATCCCTCCAGCTGTCCCGCAGCACTGCCTTCTACAGCGGAAACATCTACCACTCGCCGGACTTTGATTGGTCACATGCCATGTCAGCACTGGTTGTCCACGCTGGCAAGCTGGATGAGGTGAGATTGGATGGGGTGAGATTGGATGCGGTGAGATTGGATGGGGTGAGATTGGATGCGGTGAGATTGGATGGGGTGAGATTCGACGAGGGGAGATTGCTGGATGAGGGAAGAGAGCATGATTCTGCTTCCCATGGGTTGAGCTCAAGGCTCTTGAGTACATTGGAAATGAGCACTGAATGTAGGAGGGGGGGGGAGATCGGGGCAATCCCAATGTGATCGGGTGAAATCTCCAATTGGTGGGTTGGAGATATGGGTGTGCACCCAAAGCACACAAACTACAAACTACACTAAACTAGGATACAAAATTACAAGTACAAAAGTTGGGATTGAGAGCTAACGCTAACACCCTACCCAGGCCATGCTATTTGTACCGCATCAAACCGCTTCCCCAATCTTCCTCGTTCTACACTTTCCCCTTTCCCCCCCTTTCCGGCCCCCCACCTTTTGCGAACCAACAAAACAGGCAAGCATGGCACTGAGTTCCGAGCCTATCGCCCGAGCCTATGTCTTCCCGCACCTGGCGGACATGCTGAAGCTGCCCTTCTGGAAGCCCCTCCCCCAGTTCCCTCCTCACGACGCCGTGCCTCTCGACTGGCTGCTCTACATCGCATCCTTCGGCCGCATTCTCCTCTGGAACATCATCTTCATCCTCCCTGCTCTCATCCTCTCGTTACTGTCACACATCGTGGCGCCGCTGGTGATAGGCGCGGTGAGGAACGTGATTGTGGTGATCAGCTTCGGGCTCGCGCAGAACGAGCTGAGCTTTGCGCATGTCTTCATGGACGAGATTCTTGACCTGGGGCTCTCCTCCCAACACGTGGAGCACTGGAACGTGCAGGTGAGGGACGGCTGCGTGGGTTGGGTGGAGGGGTGGGGTGGGTGGGTGGGTGGTGGGGGAATGGGGGTTCAGGAATCTCGACCTGGGGCTCTCCTCGCAGCACGTGGAGCACTAGAACGTGCAGGTGAGGGGATGGTGGGTGGGCAGGGGTGTGTGTGTGTAAGGATTTCCCTTGCTGAAGGCAGCAGAAACAGCACTCAGTACCGTATGTATGTGTGTGTGTGTGTGTGTGTGTGTGTGTGTGTGTGTGTGTGTGTGTGTGTGTGTGTGTGTGTGTGTGTGTGTGTGTGTGTGTGTGTGTGTGTGTGTGTGTGTGTGCTGCTCTGCTCATGTCTTCATGGACGAGGTGCTCCACCTGGGGCCCTCCTCCCAACACGTGGAGCACTGGAACGTGCAGGTGAGGGGGTGGGAGAGTGAGGATAGGGGGTGAGGGAGTGAGGGTAGGGGGTGAGGGGGTGAGGAGGTGCTCCACCTGGGGTTATCGTCGCGGCACGTGGAGCACTGGAAGGTGCAGGGGAGGGACGGTTGGGTGGGGTGGGTGGGTTGGGTGGGGGAATGGGGGTTCTGGACTCTCGACCTGGGGCTGTCGTCCCAACATGTGGAGCACTGGAACGTGCAGGTGAAGGGATGGTGGGTGCAGGTGAAGGGATGGTGGGTGCAGAACAAGTTGAGCTTTGCTCATGTGTTTGAGCATGAGGTGCTCATGTGTTTGTGCATGAGGTGCTCATGTGTTTATGCATGTGGTGCTCATGTGTTTGTGCATGTGGTGCTCATGTGTTTGTGCATGAGGTGCTCATGTGTTTATGCATGAGGTGCTCATGTGTTTATGCATGAGGTGCTCATGTGTTTATGCATGAGGTGCTCATGTGTTTATGCATGAGGTGCTCATGTGTTTATGCATGAGGTGCTCATGTGTTTATGCATGAGGTGCTCATGTGTTTATGCATGAGGTGCTCATGTGTTTATGCATGAGGTGCTCATGTGTTTATGCATGAGGTGCTCATGTGTTTATGCATGAGGTGCTCATGTGTTTATGCATGAGGTGCTCCACCTGGGGCGCACTTCCCTCCCTCCCCCCTTCCCTCCCCCTTCCGTTCTCCTTCTCAGAAACTTCTGGCGCTGGCCAAGACACGCTCTTTGCAGGGGGAGCTGATGGCGGGGTATGAGGATGACACCTGTGACATGGGGGAGGCTGTATTTGAGGAGGGGCTACTCGGGGAGGGGGTACTTGCAAAGGGGGAACCTGGAGGGAAGGAGGGGAGGATGAAGGGTGAGAGTGAAGGAAAGGGTAAAGGTGTTGAAGGGGATGGGGAGGGGGAAGGGTGGGCGAATGGGCGAGCAGCAACAGTAGCACCAGAGCCGGCATCAGCTGTAGCAGGCGCAGCAGCGGCTGCAGCAGGTACAGAAGCTGTAGCAGGTGACAATGCGTCAGGGGAAGAAAAGGACAAAGACAGCCGTTACTGTCCGACTCTAGACCCGTGCTTGAGCAATTCTGCCGGCCAATGGCAGCGCAGCGCGAGCCGGCTCCGTCGGCGCGTTACATTCAAGAGCGGGAGGACGCTTGGTGACGACACCCGGGGAGATGAAACCCATGGAGATGAAACCCGCGGAGATGTAACTGGTCGAGATGTAACAGCTGTGGCGACTTGCCACACTCCTGATCTCCCACTCCTGCCACTCAGTGAAAGCCGAGGGTCTTCCTCTGAGAAGCCAAGAGAGAGTGAGGTGGAGGGGAAGACACGTGGACAGGAGCAGTTGCTTTACGAGTATTTATGGGATGATAAGGAGCTGGATGAAGCTGCTGCTAAGTGTCTTACTTACCAATGTCTTGAGCCGGAAATTAACAAGATGTGGAAGAACCCGCGCCTTACCCCGCAGCAGTTTGTTCGGCAGATTAAGCAGCTGTGTGTGATGATTGAGGACCGATTCTCAGAGCTCACGGGTAAGTTAGACCTGAATCATGGGGCGTATTTCAGAGATCCCCGGATATTGGGGGTTGTTGCACATTTTTTGGAGTTCCGGGAGCTTCCGGAGTGGTCCAGAGAGATTGATGCCGATGTTATGAGGGCTGAACGCATGGTGCATTCAGGCTAAGGGCCATCGAGCTGGCTACGAACCAGGGCCCAAAATATCAGGGTAAAACGCCCTGATTGTTGGGAACAAACAATCTGTCGTGTCGTGTCGAAACACCAAGACACAAGCGAAGCAGCGCATATGGAGGCACCAGCGAGTCAACCCTCGGAGGTTGATGTAACCGCTGGAGGTTACGTGAAAGTCAGAGGTCAGCGACCTTTGACCTGACAAATGCAGCGCGACAGCAAGGACACACAACTGACTCGACATTGAGCAGTTGCCCGAGTCGCACTGTATCGAACCGCAACAGTAAACTAGTTATAATGTCTCTTCATATTCTCTGTATTCATATATATATCCTTGTATCTCTTTGCTTTAATCAACTTACTTTGCCCTCACATACTAGCGCAAGGTGGTTCAAATACCTTACTTAAAACGCTTCCGCTACTACATCACTTTACTTAGACTTTAACTCTACCAAAGATCCTAAAGGGCACTCAGCCCAACATGGTATGAGAGCAGGTTAGAGTTAAATCATTTCTCCTCATTACTTAATACACCAAGAGATATGTCTACTAGAAAGGAGAGGAGCTCCTCCAACGGCTCTCCTGGTACTACTCCTACTCCACCTCCTGCCTCTGGCCTGCAGACACAGGAAGGGACAACAACGAGACCGGCAGCTGGGTCTACTGAAACACCCGCAAACCAAGGCGTGGGCTTCGATCCAAGCATGATGGAGAAATTCTTCTCCTTCATGTCCTTCTACGAGCAGCATCAGCAAGGAGGACCTGTGCAATCAAACAACAGCAACAACAACAACAACGTGACGCCCATGAGTCTCGATGGCTCATCCTACGCACGCGGGAATCAACAACAGCAACCTACCTTCGCTCCGTACGAGCCTCAGCGCGGCTCCGTCAGCTTCATGCCACAACCACAACCTGCACCGGGACAAGAGAGAACGTTGGACGCACTACAAGTTCAGTCGCAGTTCGCGCACGTTCTAAAACTGCAAACGACAAAACCCTTCAACGGGAAGGACTTCTTCACCTGGTCATTCGAATTTGAACTGATGATGGAAGGAGCGCAAATCCTCGGCCCCTTCGACGGGTCCCTGCCATACTCAACAAACGGCACACAGTATGAGAAGCAGCAGTACACCTATCAATCAATGATGGCGTACACGATACTGCTGAGGAACATCACTCCATCTCAACAGCAAAACATTCGGTCTTACCGAGGCTACGGCAACTCCGCGGAGCTCGCGTACAATCACTTGAAGACCCTGTATCAAGCAACAGACAGCGTAAACCAAAGTCGGTTAATGGCGCAGCTAACTACCATCGAAATGAAATCGGGCGAGAAGGGAATGGCGTATATCAGCCGCTGCCGCGAGCTGCGCGACAAGCTTCTTCGATGTGGAGGATCGATTTCAGAGGACGCCTTCGTCACGGTTGTCATCGGCGGTCTTGGTCCTCACTGGCGCTCCACTCGCGCCATACTACGAGCCCACGGGAAAATCTCTGAAGCGGCACTTTGCGCCGAAATCCACGCCGAACAGCAAGACATGGACCTGCAAGAAGAACGACAAAGGAGAAAGGTGTCAGTGCCCGAATTCGCGTTTCACACTCAACGGCGCTACAACAACAACAATCGTCCGAAATTCATACCTCCGTTCTGCCACCTTTGCAAGACTTCAGGGCATCCTCGTACGCACTGCCCAAATCGACAACGCCAACTTCGCCCTTCAAGCAGTCAAGTCACTTCAACGCAAGCAAACCCGACAACTTCAGTCCACGTCTCAACAACGTCAGCGGGACAACCTGCAAAAGAAACAAGAAACATCGTCAGCTGCATGGCAAGGCTGAGTGACTCCTGCACAACTGAGTCACCACCATATTACTCACCAGAAGAACAACTCGACAACAGCACGCCTCGCCGCGAGTCACTTTAACCAAACCCGACGTACGCTGCCATCGCCCAAAGCGAGCCGTCCGGAAAGGATACATGGCTCTCGGACAGTTGCTGCGGACAACACATGTGTTCCTCAGGACGTTTCGTTCAACGCGAGCACCAACTTCAACGAGAATTCGTCATCACTGTCGCCAATAACCAGAACCTGCGCACACGACGGCAAGGGGTAGTGCAACTTCAGTCACGAGAGACGAATGTCGTACTGCAAATGTCAAAAGTACAGATAGCAGAAGGACTTGGTTACAACTTACTGAGCGTTAGTCAGTTGATGGCGAAAGGCATACATCTGGAAGCCGACAGTACCACCCAGGAGTTCAAACTGTACCACGGGAAGGGCGGCCTCTACATCGGAAAGGCGATTCTGAAGAACAATGTCTTCGTCCTCGACTTCGTCCCAGACCTGGGCACCGCAGACAGTGACGGGATCGTCACCTTCACATCCTTGACGCACCCGCCGGATCTCGACCCCGACTTCAGTCTGGAAGGCTTCTGGTATTCACATACCATTCCTGAAGCAGAACGAACACGTGCGTTAGTAACAATACAACATTCGGCAGCAGCAGAGACAACATCGGCAGCAGCAGAAGCAGCAGCAGAGACAACATCGGCAGCAGCAGAAACCTCGTCGGCAGCAGCAGGAACAACGACACCAGTCCTCGTTGACGAAGCACCACCAACACCCGCACAGCAGCTGAATCCGACTCAACGGGAAGTCCACAGAAGCGCAAACTTCATCGCCAGCTTCTACTCCAACTCCGACGCGTATCAACGCTCACCCGGACACCGTACCTCCGAAGATATCTGGCACGCACGCATGGGACACCCAAGCAACACTGTGTTAAACAACACAATAAGAGCAGGAGTCCTTGACAAGGACTCATTACTACTACTCGACGGCAAAGAACTTCAACGAGCACGAGGAACTTGTCTTACCTGCCCCGAAGCCGACTTACCATATCGGCCGTTCATTCCTCATCACAACCCGAGCGCACCCGCGTACGCACCACTCGAGAAGGTGTACAGCGATATCCTTTTCAATCGGGAACCAGGACAAGCTACATACAACTACACGATCACCTTCATCGACGCCGCCACCCGTTACGTCTGGCACCTAAACCCGCCCAGCCGCGACATGGCACTCGCAGCCATCGCTGCCTGGCTACCAGTAGCAGAGAGAGAGTCGGGCGCACAACTGAAAAGCTTCCAGTCAGACGGAGGGGGAGAATACACTTCTCAGCGATTCAAGCAGTACTTGGCGGAAAGGGGAATCAAGCAGCTCCTCTCTCTTCCCTACGCCCATCAATAGCAAGGTGTGGCAGAAAGAATGAACAGGACTCTGCAGAACAGCATGCCCAAACTGTTACGTGGCATGCGGCTACCCAACCACCAGCGGCCTGCAGCAATGGACCACGCCGTCATGCTGCACAACTTGATGTCGTCGTCTTCACTTCCGAACAATGCGTCACCGCATCTGCTATGGACAGGGAAACAGGGCAGCACAAAAATGTTACGAGTTTTCGGGTGCATGGTACAGTACCGACCCCCAGAAGCACGAGCGGGAAGATTTTCACAACGCGCACAGTGGGGACTGCACCTCGGCATCGAAAAGAACGACAACGCGTGGAAAATCTTCGACATCCACTCCAAGGAAACAGTAGCAGCACGTGACGTAATTTTCTACGAACGACTCACGCTTCAGACGTACCTTGCCAACTTGCACGACAATGAAGATCCCACAGGTGGCTTTCGCGGTAACCGAGCCTTCGCCTCAGCAGCGGACGAAGCAGACTGGGACGAGCAGAATGTGGACAACGCATCAGAAGAAGCCGGACCTCTCCCGTTTTGCTCCGTCAACGTCCCCATGGACGAAGACAGCCCTCGCGAAAGCGCCAACGCCGAAGTCTTCTACCACTTCGCCGACAACGGTTACGTAACACCTGCGACAGCCAACACCCACGAAGTAGAACGGATAGGGCCGAATTTCATACCCGACCCAGAAGCGGGAGACGAAGCAGCTTATCCCGAGGACACAACTCTTCCCCGCTACTCACAGACTGGACTGCAGATTCTCGGCCTCGTCACCACAGTCCACGGCACCTCTCTACCTAAGGAGCCTGCGACGGTTCAGCAGGCTCTGGGGGGGGAACACAGGGAAAAATGGCGTGAAGCCATGGACAGAGAGTTAAAGGCGCTGGAGGAACGGAACACCTGGAAAATTGTCCCCATCAGCGTGGCAAGGAATAAGACCATTCTCACCAGGAAATGGGTCTTCCGCATTAAAACGAAATCAGACCGCACAATTGAGAAATTCAAAGCACGTTGGGTTGTGCGTGGATTCGATCAGGAGCACGGACGTCACCGAGACATTCGCCCCGGTCAGCCGACATACCTCACTTCGAATTCTCCTCGCGATCGCCGCTATGAAGAAGAAGAAGCTACGGCAAATCGATGTCACCGACGCGTTCCCCTACGCACCTGTCGACGCGGAAATCTTCGTCGAGCTCCCACATGGTACCCACGGGGAACCGAACCAAGTCTGTCAACTGCTGAAATCACTCTACGGGATCAAGCAAGCTCCGCGGCTATGGCAACAGTACCTACACGCTCGCCTCACTCGCATCGGATACCGTCAACTACCTCACGACCAAGGGATGTACCGACTCACCAAAGACACCGACTACATTCTGTTGATCGTCTACGTAGACGACTTACTCTACATCGGCTCTACTGACGACATCACCACCTGGTTCGAAGGGGAGCTACAGAAGGACCTCACACTCACGGTCTCCGCTAGCGTCACACAGTATCTCGGCTTAAACATTCGGGAAGAAGAAGGCGCGATCTACCTCAACGCCGCTCAGTACGCCGACACCATCGCCAAACGCTTCGCGCTCACACCTACCACCATTTCTACGCCCTACCGCTACACGACAGGAAACCGCAATGAAGGATCCTCTCTACTCAAATCCGTCGGGATACGCGACTACCAGAGAAAGCTGGGCTGCCTTCTCTTTGCAGCCGTCACCTGCCGCCCAGATCTATCCTACTCCGCAAGCCAACTCGCCACCTACCTCAAAAGACCTGAAGCACAACACTTGGCAGAGCTCGAGCGCGCTCTCCACTACTTTGTCAGTACCTCTACGATCGGTCTGACCTACTACAAGAACACAACTACACCGACGAAATTAATCGGCTACGTCGACGCCGATCACGCTGGCGACTCAGACAATAGGCACTCCCGCACTGGCTACATCGCCTCGAACCTATCGGACCGATCTCCTGGCAATCGAGCAAGCAGGAACTAATCGCTCTCTCGTCAACTGAAGCAGAATATATTGTCAGAATGTTATATTATGCTCTAGCCTGTAGTGGGGTGCTCTATAGCGAGTACAACCCTTCTAGGGTTTCCTATTTGTATCCCCATTCTTGCTAGTGCAGGCTCTCTTCTCTCTTCTAAACTTTCACATGCTATCAGAGCAGGTCGATCCCGTTGGATCGATCCTGTGGGTGGGCTCACCACCTCGTTGCTTCCGCTGCAACTCCTACTGCTACTGCTATCACTACTCTCTGTGCCGCACGCCCCGTGGCGTGCGGCATTTTTTCATCCCGCCGTGCGCCCCGAGGCGCGCGGCGGTTTTCTGCCCGCCGTGCGCCCCGAGGCGCGCGGCGGTTCTCTTCCCGCCGTGCGCCCCGAGGCGCGCGGCGGGTTACTTCCCCGTCACGCCGCGCGCCGCTCCTGGGAGGCGCTACGACGGGGGACGGGGACCTCCGCGTCGCCCCCCGTCGCCCGTCGTGGCCTGCGCGCGGCCCGTACAGCCTGCGCACAGCACGTACGGGCCGCGCCAGACCCGTCCGCGGCTCGTACGGGCCGCGCCAGGCCTACGCGCGACCCGTACGGGCGGCGCCAGGCCCGCGCGCGGCTCGGGCCGCCTGCGCGCGGCTCGGGCGACCCTACCTGCGGCCCTGGCCCCGGCCCCGCCGCCCTACCTGCAGCCCCGTCGTCCCGTCGCCCTACCTACGGCCCGGCTCCGTCGCCCTACCTACGGCACCGCCCCCCCCCCCCCCCCCCCCCCTTTTTCCCGTCGCCCGTCGCGGCTCCTTCGAGGGCCGCGACCTGGGGGGTGGCGGGTGTGTAGTCTCCCCTGCTCCTCCTCCTCCTCTGTCTCCCACTACTTCAGCTACCGCTGAGGGGGGTGGGTGTGTGGGATTCGACGGAGTGGTGCTAGGGGGTGGGGTGAGAGTGGAGCTAGGGGTGTAGCAGCGGGTGTGTGTCAGGGGGAGTGGGATCGTTTGGGGAAGCTGAATGGAGGTTGCCGTCGTGTCGCCAGCAGCACCTGTATTCCGGGGACTTCGTCCAGTAGCCCAGTCGTAGCCAGCTGTGCCAGCCGCGCGTGGGTCCGTTGCTCGTCTGCCGCTACTTTAGCCGCGGGGCCAGTTACTCCAGTATTCCGGAGCGTTGTTCCGGTAGCCGCTGTGCCAGTGTGCCTCCTATTGCCCGTGTGTCTGCAGCTTCATCCGTCGCCTCCTATCTCCTCTCCTCTCACTCTCTCTCCTCCTCCTCACTTGCCCGTTGTGACTACCACTAGCTTTGCTCATAATTGTTAACTTGAAACTATTGCTTCTTGAACTTGTGCTCAGAATGTGTGGTGACATTGTGATCCACCCTGAGCTTGTACTGCTTTGCTTGCTCTGCTGATTACACCTCACTTTGGCTATGGGGGTGTGTCAGAATGTTATCTTATGCTCTAGCCTGTACTGGGGTGCTCTATAGCGAGTACAACCCTTCTAGGGTTTCCTATTTGTATCCCCATTCTTGCTAGTGCAGGCTCTCTTCTCTCTTCTAAACTTTCACATATATTGCACTCTGCTCAGCCACCAAGGAAGGACTCCATCTTCGCGAGCTGCTGGAAGAAGCGAAGCTAACCGAGTTACCCAACTTCACTCTGTTCTGCGACAACCAATCTGCGATTCGCATCGCCAACAAAAGTGGATTCGCGAACAGAACGAAGCATATCGCTCTGCGATATTTCTTCGTGAAAGACGAGATCGAGAAGGGGAAAGTTGAACTATCCTACTGTCCCACGTCCGAGATGGCAGCTGACTACTTGACCAAGAAGCTCGGAAAACAAAAGTTTGAGTACTGCATGCTGCTGACTGGACAAAGCCACGTCACCATCAGCGACACTCCAGAAGCGAAGGGGAATGTTGGGAACAAACAATCTTAAGCGCCTCTGTCGTGTTGAAACACCAAGACACAAGCGAAGCAGCGCATATGGAGGCACCAGCGAGTCAACCCTCGGAGGATGGTGTAACCACTGGAGGTTACGTGAAAGTCAAAGGTCAGCGACCTTTGACCTGACAAATGCAGCGCGACAGCAAGGACACACAACTGACTCGACATTGAGCAGTTGCCCGAGTCGCACTGTATCGAACCGCAACAGTAAAGTAGTTATAATGTCTCTTCATCTGTATTCATATATATATCCTTGTATCTCTTTGCTTTATTCAACTTACTTTGCCCTCACATACTAGCGCAAGGTGGTTCAAATACCTTACTTAAAACGCTTCCGCTACTACATCACTTTACTCAGACTTTAACTCTACCAAAGATCCTAAAGGGCACTCAGCCCAACACTGATTACCCTGGGGGCAGGCCGCTTTTTAAAGATTACCTAGCCAAAATCTGGATTCCACGAAAGTTACCCTTTTGCAAAAAGAACATGTTTTTTGTTACCCTGATAGGATCTATGGTTAGCCTGACAGTATTAGGGTAGGGTGTAGACTACCCTGATACCGAAACTTTTTTGTAGCAGATCAGGCCATACTCCGCTTGGTGACGAACTGTACCACACCCACACAAACAAGCATTGTCGCTTCTTACCACTGGCATAAAACCAAGAGACGTCTGCGACACACCATGTTGCCTCATTGGTTGTTTCACCCAATGAGGCGACACCCAGTTAGTAGAAGTAGTAGGCAGTGGGGGTGGCACTGAGTAGGTGTGTTGTGAATGTGATGCTCTTCTAGAGCTCATGGACTTAGTGAGTGCTACTTTATTATGTCATTGTAAATAACTTACCGGTAGCTCACAAAATAGTAACTGAAACAGGGTTGGCCTAAAACTACCCTGCTCAAATCAGGGTAGTGGTTGATTTACCCTGCTGCAAACAGGGTACGAAAAAATTTACCCTAGGGGTCGGGGTAAGGAGGGGCTGGAACCCTGATTTGTAAGGGTATGCCTAAACCAATTTTGGGCCCTGCTACGAACCCATGAGAGTACGTCTAGCAGGGTTTTTTAGGCTGTATATTCTTTTAGATTAGCATGGTTTTTAGGCTGTATATTCTTTTAGATCGTGCAATGTGCAAGTTGGAGATGGATATATATAGCAAGATTATGCAAGGAATGCATGAGCTTGTACTGGAAATTTCATGTGAACTATGATTTGCAGGCTAATGGGGTTGCATTGCGTTTTGAAATCAAGCATTAACTCGTGTTAATTGTCGGCATGAACAGCTTTCATTGTTTCATCTGTAAAATTGTTTATGTGCTACAATAGTTGTTAGAGACTATGCTTGATTGTACACGTTCCATTCCTGGCGTGGTCGAGAATGCCGCGGCCAGTCACCACACCACACCACCACCAACACCGACCTGGCTAACCGCGACACTCTCCGTGCACTTCACCACTTTTCGAGCCACCGTCAGTGACACGCAAGCGGATTCCGCTTATTCGCATAATCTTGCACCAAATGCTCCCGAAAATAGCCTGCCGTTGACGTGTCAGCAGGCTACAAGCGGACGCCACGTCATTTCAGGCAAGTATCGAGGCCTCAGTCCACTCTCGTGAAACTTCCAGGACTTTGTAGTTTGGCGCGGTTTGTTGGTTGTTGAATGAACAATTCCGGACAGCCTCACTTCAGCTGAGGTGTGCTACACTGTACATATTTCTCATCTCAGGGCGTATCCCTAGGTGGTGGCAGGGCCACTGTAGATGGTAGAGTTGGTGGCATGCGGGAAAACCGCATGCCACCAACATTTTTACCAAGGCGCGCGCGACTCGTATTTGGTGGCATTGAAGTGACATTTTTGGGGCATTGCCCAATCACGCACCTGTATTCGCGCGCCAAATTTCCTGACACCAACCTGGCGTTTTATGTGTTCGTGGCAGGCTGCCATCTACAGTTGCCCTGCCACCACCCAGGGATACGCCCTCAGTCTAAAGACTCTGATACTGTATTTCCTTCCACCTATTGCTGTGGTTGGACGACAACTGTCTTTGGTGCAACCTCCTTATCGAAACCGTACCTTTTGTCCACAGCTTCTGCTGGTTGGTGCCACTCTACGTTACTTCTGAGTTCACTTCTCGCTGCCTTCGCACTGCTGCTGCCATGGCGTTCACGGCACTCAGCAGCCCTGCTACGCAAACGATCGGCGTATCCCGTGACTGTTTATCCGGAACCTCTAACCAGTCTACTAGAAGCGTGGAACCGCGCTCAAAAGGCGCGATTCGCAGGAATCGCATAGCATTGAAGAGCCATTACTGGGGCTCGCGCCAGGCGCTGACGGCGAACGGCGGTTCCGTTTCCCGTCGCGTTTTTGCGCGATGTGGATCGACACAGAGCGGCAATTCTCAACGCTGGAGGTACGGTTTTCGCATTCCGTTTTTGCATTTCGTGATAAGAATCTCGCAATCTGTTTCTCCTTATTTCGACGTCTTCTGCTTTCCCCATTCGTTCCGGTTTCTCCTCCTCCTGCCACCGTCATTCATTTTCAAAATCTGCTGCTGTCTACTCTAACAGGTGTGAGGCGAGCACCAGCGGAAGCACTAAACCGGATATTCCGGAGAAAGATAACCAAGAACAAACCGCAGATCCCGCTGCTTTCAACGGCTCGGCGTCCTCGAATTCAACCAAGCCAAAGCTGATCGCATACGACTACGGCTTTCAGGTACTTTTCACACTGAATTCCAAGGTAGGCCCGACTCTCAGACAACTCGTCTGCTCCAAGACTTTCCTTCGCTCCATCTCCCCTCGTCGTCGACCCCATCATGGGAATCGACGTTTCTTTGCAGCGCGTCCCAACGTCCCTCCCAACCCCCTCGACGCGTTTGAAAATGTTAAATTGAATCGAACGTCGCCCCTCATCGTCCTGCCTCTCGGTCCCAGTCCAAGTTTTTCCGCACGGCCCCAACGTCCCTGGTAACAAATTCAAACGTATTTGAGTAACGCAAGTGACTTACACCTTTTCGTCCTTCCCCCCCACCCCTCTTCGTTCCCCCTCGCCCTCCGCCTCTCGGTCCCAGTCCAAGTTTTTCCGCACGGGGCCCAAGGTCCCTGGTAACGTCTTCAAGCTCGCGTTCGAGAATTTCGGCCGCGAGTACGCGGTAAGCACGTCAGCATGCCACGTCATTGTTCCACATCTCAGCATGCAAGTGTCAGCGTGCCACACGTTACGCCGCAACGAAAACACCTCCGTTTTTTCCAATTGAATTTAAACTTCATGCCTGTACCTGCAATTCTTTGTTTCTCAACGCAAGCCTTCGCCGCTCTCGTGCTCTTCGCGTTTCGTCATTGCGCCCTTGTTCAGGCCCTTTCGCCAGCAACGTTCTTCAACTAGCGAGATTCTAATGTTTTCTCCCATTCACGTGCACGTGCAGGCCCTTCGTAGCAACGTTCTTTACGAGGAGCTCAGCGACGTGCGAAGTAAGTTGCAGCTCCTTCACTGTTCGGCTCACTCTAAAGAGTGGCTCGTTACATCTTTACCAAAGTGGCAATCCCTCCCTAGCCTTTACTCCGCACTCAAATTTTCCCTTTCGTTCCCGTCTCCCCCCACCCAGCCGACAACATCAAGAGAGATGGCAGGCAACTTGCCCTCGCGTACGCGGGTCGCTTCCTCGTCTCAACGCTCAAGTTCTTTGACAAGCTCCTCACGCTCTACGATGGTCTTCCCGAGATCAAGCCCCCTCCTGCTGTAAGCCTTCCTTGTATAGGGGTGGCTTGCATGTCACGTTAGAATCTACTTCGGGCTCCAAGTTCCTTCCTCGTTGCTTCCTCGTCTCGACGCTCAAGTCCTTTGACGCGTAGCAACGTCAGGTGGGGAGTCTATTTTATTGAGGCGCCTCTAAACTGAGGAGCTCTCACAATTTTTCATGTTTCTTCCCTTCACCCCTTACTCGTTCCTGCTACACCTAAACAGATGCCCGAGGAGAGTGACGCTGAGCAACGTAACGTCATTCAGGGCGCTCTCACAAGTTACTCACGTTCCTTCCCTTCGCCCCTTCACTCGTTCCTGCTGTACCAAAACAGATGCCCGAGGAGAGTGAGGCGCTGAGGCAAAAGCTGCAGCAGCTGACGCTGAGCAACGTATCGTTATTCAGGGCGCTCTCACAAGTTCCTCACGTTCCTTCCCTTCGCCCCTTCACTCGTGCCTGCTGTACCAAAACAGATGCCCGAGGGGAGTGAGGCGCTGAGGCAAAAGCTGCAGCAGCTGACGCTGAGCAACGTAACGTCATTCAGGGCGCTCTCACAAGTTCCTCACGTTCCTTCCCTTCGCCCCTTCACTCGTGCCTGCTGTACCAAAACAGATGCCCGAGGGGAGTGAGGCGCTGAGGCAAAAGCTACAGCAGCTGACGCTGAGCAACGTAACGTCATTCAGGGCGCTCTCACAAGTTCCTCACGTTCCTTCCCTTCGCCCCTTCACTCGTGCCTGCTGCACCAAAACAGATGCCCGAGGAGAGTGAGGCGCTGAGGCAAAAGCTGCAGCAGCTGACGCTGAGCAACGAGGCGGTGGCTAAGCGGGAGGAGGACCGGCCCCAGGTGGAGGCGCCTGGGTGGATCCTGCTCCCCTACAAACTCCTGTGCTGGGTGAGTGACGTGTGACTCGGTGCAGTTGGGTGCTGCTAGTTGGTACGTGATGGACAAAACAAGTTGTGAGGCTTTAGAGAGGGAGGAGGAGCGGCCCCAGGTGGAGGCGCCTGGGTGGATCCTGCTCCCCTACAAACTCCTGTGCTGGGTGAGTTGGGTTGACCCTGGGTATGCGTGAGTTGAGTGCGGTGATGGTATGTGCTTGGCTGTGAGCGCACCTAGCGGTGCCTCGTGGGCTCAGGTGGAGGCGCCTGGGTGGATCCTGCTTCCCTACAAGCTGCTGTGCTGGGTGAGTGGAGTGCCGCTGCGTTGAGCTGAGTGCAGCTGGGTTGAGTTGGGTTGATGGGAGTGGGAATGTTCGCTTTGCCAGATAAAACTCCAGGGGAGCTCAAAAAAACAAACAAAAAAAAGGCTAATGTTATCTCAGGCCAATGAAAAGTCACTTCCACTTGTCCTTTTCTCAATTTATCCCGTCCCATGCCATGCCATCCCATCCGTCAGATGCTTGATGTGATCTTTTACAATCGCCCCATCCAACGGTTCTGGTTCCTCGAGACGGTGGCACGCATGCCCTACTTCTCGTGAGTGCCCTGTCAACTATGTGGACCATCATTCGTGTATCATCGTTCATGACCCATCGTTCGCCCCCATGATCATGCCGTGCGCTTGTCGCGCACATGCTTTGCTTGTCAAGAGTTTCAGCCATGCTTGTTCCCCCATTTCCTTTTGTAATCTTCTGATCCACATTCTCTCTTGCCCCCCTGTCGCTCCCTCCCACCCCCGCAGCTACATCTCCATGCTTCACCTCTACGAGACCCTCGGATGGTACGTTGCTGAAATATCAGTGGCAATTCTGAGCAACGTAATCTATAAACTTGGGCTCATGACCTTTTCTTTTCAATCTGAAAAAAGTGTGTTTTCTCAGAAAGTCTGGTCATCAACGCAGCATCGTCTTCTCACGAGCATGCTTCTCCACTTCCTTACCCTGTACTCCCCCGTCTGCTCCAAACCTCAGGTGGAGGATCGGCATGGAGGTTCGGAAGGTGCATTTCGCAGAGGAGTGGAACGAGATGAACCACCTCAAGATCATGGAGTCTCTGGGCGGCGACCTGTTCTGGATCGACCGCTTCCTTGCCTCCCTGCGAATCTCATCTCCTTAACTTTTTTACCCCCATGCTTTCCGCTGTCCCGGGCCTCAGGTGGAGGATCGGCATGGAGGTTCGGAAGGTGCATTTTGCAGAGGAGTGGAACGAGATGAACCACCTCAAGATCATGGAATCCCTCGGCGGCGACCGGCTCTGGATCGACCGCTTCTTTGCGCAGCACGCCGCCATCCTCTACTATTGGGTCCTAAACTTCATGTTCTTAATCTCCCCGCGCACCGCGTACAACTTCTCGGAGCTGATCGAGGCGCATGCGGTGGACACGTACGGCGAGTTTGTGGATGAGAATGCGGAGCTGCTGAAGACGTTGCCGCCGTCCCCAGCAGCTATTGCTTACTACAACAGCGACGACCTGTACATGTGAGTGGCTTGAGACGTGTGGACCTGTGGTGAGCTGATGGAGGCGCATGCGGTGGATACTTACGGGGAGTTTGTGGACGAGAATGCAGAGCTGCTGAAAGCTCTCCCACCCTCTCCAGCTGCAATTGTTACTACAACAGTGATGACCTGTACATGTGAGTGCAAAGGGGGGGGGGGGGGGGGGTTCAATGTGGGTGGTTCAGAAGCAAGTGGAGCTGGTAGAGGCTCATGCGGTGGACACTTATGGCGAGTTTGTGGATGAGAATGCGGAGCTGCTCAAAACGCTGCCGGCCTCCCCGGCAGCTATCACGTACATTTGACAAACTTTACCTGTGAGTCAGGGGGGCTGGGAAGGTGGGGTAAGGGGGAGCGGGGAACACATCAGTGTGTGTGCTTGCAGTTTTCATGTGAGGGGAGTTGAGTTGAGAGGGAGGGCAGATGTATGTGCTGTTGGTAGTGAGCTGGTAGAGCCGCATGAGGTGGATACGTGTTGGGAGTTTGTGAATGAGAACCGCTTAGATGCTGTGAATGAGAACTGCTCCGATGCTCGAGGTTCTGCCGCTGTCCTCGGCAGCTATTGCCTAGTACAACAGCGATGGCCAGGGAAGATAAGGGGGAATGTCATGTGCGTGTGTGCTTGCATGTGAGTTAAGCGGATGATATGCATGTGTAGTGTTCTCCTAAGTCTTATCTCGTAGTTTTGACATCTCCAACAATGCTGCCACCTCCCGTCCTTATTTGTCCAGGTTCGATGAATTTCAAACGTCTCGAGTTCCTGAGTCCCGGCGGCCCAAAATCGAGAGCCTGTACGATGTCTTCTGTGCCATCAGGGTGAGCAAACACTGCTCAACTTTGAATTCAGGATCCCTTATTGCTGATATGCATTGCTTATTTTATTACTCTTACGTTTCTTCAATATTACTCTTACGTTTCTTCAAGTACCTTCCAAAGTTTCTCCGTATCGCCCTTCCCATCAATATTCTGTTTCTCAGCTTTCACTCTCTTTCGCCCATTCTCAGCTGTCCTGTTCAAATCCTTTCCCCCTCAACCCTCACACCCTCCTCCTCATCACATCAGGACGATGAGATGAAGCATGTCAAGACAATGTCTGCCTTCCATTGTTACCTTGCTCTAAATTGTGTTCATCTCCTCCCTCCCCCGCCTCATCTCCACATCAGGACGACGAGATGGAGCATGTGAAGACAATGTCTGCCTGTCAGCAGCTAGACTCTGTCGTGCGCTCGCCCAACCGCCCGGGCTACGCACCTCTGCCCTCCCCTGCTGACGTGTACTTTGAAGGCCTGGTGGCGAAAACCTCATCCTCCACATCAGCATCATCTCCTGCCAAGGCAACATCAGCCTCTGCAGCTGCATCTGCGTTCAGTGCAGCTGTTGGTGAATCTAAGTTGCCCAAGGATGTCCTTCCTCAGGCACTCAAGTCGCAAGGAGAGTCCCTGAAGTGATGGATCAAAATTTTGGCCCTGTTACGGAGCACAGATACAGTAGTGTATGTAAATATGTAGTTTTCTCGTAGCATGGTTATTATGGTCTATCCTATTGCATGTGTGTGTGTGTCTTATTAGAATGGACTAAGATACTAGCGGAAGCTTTAGTAGTCTTAGATCCTCCTCCTAAAGCCTAGGAATCATAGAAGCCCACTTGGGCATGAACCATGCTAGAGCCAAAGTGGTTTCCAAAAGTGAAATGCCAACAAGAGAGAACCCTAACCTATAGGGTTTGGGAGGTGGTCCACTCTAAAGAGTGTACACCACAAGTTCTCCCAACCCAACCAATGTATTCTACACTACCATAGTGTAGATGTACCACTACATATGTTTATTGGAGCAACCCGAATTAACCTTAATTCCAACACCCCCCCTTGCTCCAATAAGCATTAAAGTTCACCCATAAATCAAAATAGAACCCCTCCAGCGAATGAAGCCTTGGCCTTCGCAGCAATCACTCGCATGCCGATGCGCTCCAGGTTCTCATGCAGCTGCAAGCTTGGAAGAGCTTTGGTCAGCATGTCGGCATCCTGGAGGTGGGAGCGTACTGAGTGCACCTCGACCTCCTGTTGGCGCACCGCATCCCGTACAAAGTGCCATGCCACCTTAATGTGCTTGGTGCGCTGATGGAGAACGGGATTGTGGGCAAGGGAGACAGCTGCCTCATTATCACAGAGCAATGGAATAGCCCCCCCATCCCCCACATGCATCTCTGCCAACAGACTCCTCAACCAAATGGCCTCCTTGGCCCCCTCCGATAGAGCTTTGTACTCAGCTTCAGAAACGCTTGCTGCAACACTGTCTTGCTTTTTGCTATACCAGCTGATTGCTCCTCCTCCCAGCTTAAAGATGTAGGCAGAGCGACTCTTGCCATCAGTCTCACCACCCCAATCCGAGTCTGTGTACCCGACAACCTGCTCACCACCTTGGCGCTCATACCTGATGACACGATCAGCTGTGTCGACCAAGTACCTGAGTGCTCTCAGTGCAGCGCGCATGTGAATGCGTCTTGGTGCCACGCAGGACTGTGCAAGGGTGTTGACAGTGAAAGACATGTCAGGACGGGTGGTCACAGCAGCATACATCAAGCTGCCAATGAGACTCTGGTACACCTTGACATCAGCTGCAACACCTTCCTCAGTTGACCAAGTACCATTCCTGATCTTAGAGAGGTCATTGGGTGACATTGGAGTATGCACCCTATGGGTCTCCTTCAGCAGATCACCAAACCTTCCCTGGAGACCACGGACATACTTCTCCTGACCAATCTCCAACCACCCATCCTTGACCGACCTGCGAACCTCCACACCAAGGTACATGGATACCTCACCTAGATCCTTCATCTGGTACCTTTGAGCAAGCACCTCCTTGACCTGACCGATCAGCTCCAAGCGTGGAGACACAAGCAAGAGGTCATCCACATACACCAATACATACACTGGCTCTTCATCCACAAACCTGATGTACAGAGCCTCATCACATGCACTGCGGTCAAACCCTGCTGCAATCAAGGTGGTACCAATCTCCTCATTCCAAGCACGAGGCGCTTGCTTGAGCCCATAGAGAGCTTTGCGCAAGCGATGCACCCTACCTGTACCATCATCAAATCCCTCAGGTTGCCTCACATACAGTTCCTCTTGAAGGAGTGCATTGAGGTAAGCATGATCAACATCCTCCTGTTGTACATGCCACCCTTTTACCGCGGCTTCTGCAAGAAGCACCCGACCTGAGGTCAGCTTGCCCACAGGGGCAAATACCTGATCATAGTCCTTCTCAGGCTCCTGAGTGTACCCCTTAGCAACAAGGCGAACCTTGTGCTGTACCACCTTATCCTCCTTGTCAGTTTTCCTGCGGAAAACGTACCGGACCCCAATGGCCTTCTTACCTGGAGGTAAGTCAACCGGCTCTGGATCCCATACACCCATAGTGCGCATTGCATTTACCTCCTTCTCAGCGCCTGCCTTCCACGCAGGGCCCTCAGGGCCACGCAGGGCCTCAGCGAGTGTGCGTGGGACATCACCTGTGCTCACACCTGCCAGTGCAACACCTTCCACCTCCCTGGCCAAACATAGCATGCCCTCAACCACACCAGCATCCCCCCCTACCTCCTCACCACCTGTACCAGACTGGATACCAAGCACCTGCAAACCCGTAACCGGTGGTGGGGAGGTAGTCGCTGGTGACGGAGGGGCACCCGTAGAGAGAGGGATAGAGCGCTGACCAGAGGAGGAGGAAGAGGAAGTAGCCTGTGTAGCGGATCTCCGCTGAATGACCGAGGGGCCACTGAGCTGCTGCAGAGGGGTGGGCTGCTGCTGCACCGACACACTCAGCGGTGCCGGTGGCAGTGGTGAAAGTGGCATCTCAACGTCGTCAGCCGTTGCTGAGGGTGGCGAGAGTGGAAGAGGGAGGAGTTGGGAAATTGCAGCTGCATCCTGCAGAAGCTCCCCAAATTCCTTTGCCTTGTCCCAATCCTTCCACATCACATTCTCAAGGAAATCAACATCCCGAGCAATGCGAATGCGCATGATAGAAGGGTCCAGCATGCGCCAACCCTTGCTCTCCATGTCCACCCCAACACAGACACACATGACAGCCCGTGCATCAAGCTTGCCACCCTTCTCATGCCCATGCAACATGACACTCCCCATGCAACCCCAAATCGGAGCCATGCCCACATGCGGCTTCTGGCCGGACCACGCCTCCATTGGTGTGATGGAGGCAGGCAAAGCACTGTGGGTGACCCTGTTCTTAACCCACACGACCCACATCAATGCTTCACCCCACAAGCGAGCAGGGAGACCACTGTCGACCAACAATGTGCGAATCCCCTCTGCCATCGTCCTGTGCCACCTCTCCACAACCCCATTCTGTTGCGGTGTATCTGCGACGCTCAATTGAGTTTTAATGCCAAACTCCGCCTTCCATGCTTTTACAGCTTCCCCCAAGAACTCGCCACCCCTGTCCGAGCGAACAGCCTTCAGCTTCCGCCCACACTCCAACTCCACGTCCTTATGCCACTGGCGAAGGACTTTTGCAACTATGGCCGATTCCTTGTTGGGGAGGGGGAACGACCAAACTCGTCTGGTGAAGTCGTCAATGAGACTGAGGACATACACCGCTCCTCCCAGTGATGGTGTGCGCACCGGCCCCCACAAATCCATGTGGACTTCATCCAAAGGCCCAAGTGCCCGAGACGCCTCATGGGGAAACGGCTTCCGAGCCGACTTTCCCAATAAGCAGGGCTCACATGGGGAACAATCAGTGTTCCCCCCCCCAATCTCCAAGCCCAGTACACTGTTCCCCCGAGCCATCTGTTGCAATGTTGTGGGGGCGGTATGACCAAGGCGGCGATGGGCAAGGGTCAATGGGGAAAATGAGGAGGACGACTTAGCTGCAAGAGCACTGCCCTGTGTGCCCTGAGCAAGAGGAAGAAACATCCGCACCAATCCATGGTCCCTTCCCCTCTCCTTTTCTCCAATCGCCAACACCCGCTCCCCCCGTTGAAGGACACATCTCTTGCCTTTGAATGTGACAATGACATCTCGAGAGGTGAGGTGTGGGACTGACAGCAGACGCGTGTGCATCTCAGGCACAAGGTGGACCTTTTGAATCCTCAGCAGCTGACCTCCAGCACCAACCACTGGCACCTCACCCATGCCAACAGCTTTCATCACCCGTCCATCTTCCAATCTAACTCCCCGAACCTCTGGTGGTTGAAGCTTACTTTTGAAGTCCGATGCATAAGGAGTAAAGTTGTGGCTGGCCCCACTATCAATCCACCACCCCTCTCGCGGCTGCTCCTCTCCCACTGCTGCAACTGCTTCTCCAACCACTGCCTCTGCCTTGTCATCCTGCTCCTCCTCATCCGCCACCTGTGCCTTGCCGTTGGACCCACGACCCCCCCGCTGTAAGAATGCCGGAATGCCTCCCTTAGGTCGATGAGGACATCGCTGCCATGCATGTCCCTCATCCCAACAGCCATGACACAACCCCCGAGGAGCCATGCCCTTGGACCCCCAAGGGAAATCAAGCACTCCCGCTTTGCCTTTCCCTTGACCCCATCTACCCGAGTTGGTGTCACTGCTGCTACCGCTGTCTCCATGCTTTCCTCCCTTGACCCAATTTCCCCTGCCGCTGCTGCCCACTTTCGTACCCGCTCCAAATGTGGCTACACCATCCGATCTTGGTGCGACACCAATCCGCATCTCCTCGCTCCTCAAGGAGGTAAGCAGCTGATCCTTAGTGAGCGATGATGACTGGTTGTTCATCACCACCTTCAGCATCTCAAAGTGAGGAGGTAGTCCTTTGAGTATCCTCATCATCCACTCCTCAACCTCCTCCTTTCCTCCTGCTGCCAAGTACTTGGACCTCAAGTCCTCGGCACGCGCCCAGTATGCAGCCACCCCCTCCCCCTCTTTCATCTTCAATGAAGAGAGCTCCTCAAAGAGTGCCATCCGGTTACACAATCCACGCTGAAGGTAGAACTCCTTCACTCGTATATATGCCGCTGCTGTGCCTGCAGGAATTCGGGTGACCGCTCTTGCTCCGCCATCAACAGGTGCGCTGCCCAACTCGGTCTTGCCGCCGAACTCCCGTACCAAGCGAATTAGCTCATCTGGCACCAAGACATTGCAGAATTGAGCGAATGCCTTCTGATTTTTTCTCTCCCACTTCAGCCGTGCGTCACCCGATGCAGGCCGCTCCTCCGAACCATCAAAGTACCCCCATAGATCGTGTGCCTCTGCCCATTGTTCGAATCGGAAGCTCCAAGTCCAATAGTCGCTCCCGTCGAACTTTGGCGTGCTCTCCAGCTTCCCTTCACCTGAGTCATGATCCATTTGCGGCAGACACTCTGGAGATTGACGTTGAGGTGGTGGTGGAGGCAACGGCGGCGGTGGTGGAGACGATGTGGACAGATTTGCCCCCTCTTGGTTTTTGGAGCGTAACTCCGCGCTCGAACCTCCGAATGATGAGCCGTTTGTCTCAGATGAATCTTTGCTCCAAGACCGTTCCGATGATGTATCGCGCTCCTGGATTGCGCTTCCAAGCTGTCCGCTTAAACTCGTCGAAGTTGGCCGATTTCCCGTCGACGAAGACTCAACCGTTTCTCCCGATTTTTGGCTTGTTAGATGCGCCCTGGCCTCCTCTATTGGCGTCTGGCCTCCAATCTTTTTTCCGCGCTTTAAATCTTCCCCGATTCGCGATTTTTCAATTCGTCCGCCGGCAGTTTTTCGCGAATTGCGTCCGATCCCCTCGTCGATTGGTGACGATCTTGAGGCAACTGTTGTAGAGCGTGCTGAGACCTTTCCAACGGTATGCTGCACGTTTTGATCGGCCAAAGTTGACTGAGCGCCTCCGTGGATGGATGCCGCTCTTCTCGTCCTCCCAAACGGATCTACACGATTTCCAGCAGTTTTCTTCTCTCCTCCTCCCCTCCCACGTCCAGAGTCCGCCACGGTGCAATTTCGGCAGCCCTTCGGGAGGAATGGAAGCTAACTAGCTTCCACCAAGATCTTATGGTCCAATGTCTTGAGTAACTCCTTTTCCAACAGATTGCTAGGCCTTCCTTGCTCTGATACCATATTAGAATGGACTAAGATACTAGCGGAAGCTTTAGTAGTCTTAGAACCTCCTCCTAAAGCCTAGGAATCATAGGAGCCCACTTGGGCATGAACCATGCTAGAACCAAAGTGGTTTCCAAAAGTGAAATGCCAACAAGAGAGAACCCTAACCTATAGGGTTTGGGAGGTGGTCCACTCTAAAGAGTGTACACCACAAGTTCTCCCAACCCAACCAATGTATTCTACACTACCATAGTGTAGATGTACCACTACATATGTTTATTGGAGCAACCCGAATTAAACCTTAATTCCAACATGTCTATATGATTGTAAGATGGTATATGGTTTGGTTCTGTCTAAATATTCGTGCAATATCTTATGCTCATGGCATGAAGCATCATGTGTTTGAACAATTGAGAATAATTAAAGCAAGAGGTGAGAAAGTATCTTCACCATCTCAACAAGTTCAAATCAATGGCCATAAATGAACAATGTAAGATACATAGCAACGATGTTGAAACTCCTGGTTACACTTCCTGACTCGTCGCTGACACAAACGGGGATCCCGTGACTGCCACGCCAAGCTTCAACTTTGGGGAGGGATGCGTGACCAGACGGAGTGGAGCCGCGCGCGTCACAGAACATGCTCTGGAGAGTCCCGCGCGGCACAGAGCATGCGCTGGGGAGTCCCGCGCGTCAAACAGAATACCCTAGGGAGTCCCGCGCGCCACACAACACCCGCCCTCCAGTAGGAAGAAACAGTTTTTCCTTGCATTCAACCCTAGTCCCCCGAGGTTTCTGTTCAACCCACCACCGACGCGAGCCATTGAGTCCGACAGCCATTCGAGCTTCTTCCGTTCACCCGCAATCTGTGTGACTTGGGGAATCGCAAATTCTGTTGTCATTAGGGCCTAGGTCCGAAACGCGCGACCTGGCTTCGTCGTCCGCGGGAAGCTCACAAGCTCGTATCATTCGCCATGGCTTCGTCCAGGTCGGCTCGTTCAAACAGCAGCCGCCCTTGCATTCCAACTCTCGTCTGTTCTCGCAGCTACAAATGCAGTTATAAATGCAGCCATTCAACAGTAGTTCACCAGCAATCCACCAGCCGTCCACCATAATAGCAGCCTCGTTAGACGATAAGAGGCCTTCCGGCTTCTGTCTCCGTCTGCCTGCCTCCCTCGGTCTTTCAACCAGGGAGCCGTTCCTCCTCTCAAATCTGTATTACCTTTTATTCTCCACTATCACACCCGTTGCTTCTAAGCTAGTGGCATCGATGGCTTGCATCAAACACTCAGTGCGATCAGGGTCATCATCCGTCCTCCTCCCGTTCCTCGTCGTCTTCCTCTACGCGACCCTCCTCTCCCACCACTTCCTCTCCGCCTCCGCCGCCGTCGCCGCCGCACACGGCCGTCACAGTCGCAGGAACCACGCCTCGACGCAATCTCGCGCTTCGACTGCGAGCGGTCCCGGATGGTATCGGAACCGCGCTGCCGTACCCTTTCAGCCCGCCACGCGATCATCATCCCGAGCCGCTTCTGCCGGCGGTCCCGGATGGTATCGAAGCGCCTCCGTGCCAGCTTCCACGCAATCATTATCGCGATTCGCTGCTGCTGCTGCGAGCGGGCCGTGCTCCTTTGTTTCCTGCCCTAAGGGCTGCACCTGCGCTGCTTCCGGAGGCGTTGCCAAGTGCTCGTGCAAAGGTGCGTGAGTGCAGCAATGATTTCTGAGACGCCTCAAGCTCGTCTGTTGCTAGTACTGCTAGTGCAGCAGCTGTTTGTGCAGCCGCTGCTGCTGTTGCTGCTGCTGCCAGCGGGCCGTGCTCCTTCGTTTTCTGCCCCAAGGGCTGCACCTGCGCTGCCTCCACGGGCGTAGCCAAGTGCTCGTGCAAAGGTAATAGAAACAGTACCAGGTAATTCGCTAATGCTGTTGCTGCTGCTGCCAGTTGGCCCTGCTCTCTTGTTTCCTGCTCCAAGGGCTGCACTTGCGCTGCTTCCGCGGGCGTCGCTAAGTGCTCGTGCAAAGGTGATTTCAATGCTTTCAGGTGTTTGCAATGCTTTCAGGTGATTGCAACAATTTCAGGTGATTGCAAAAATGCCAGGTGGTTGCAACAAGTCCCAGCGATCAAGACCATGGCAGAAGCGTCTCGCCATTTCCCCTCCCCCCCACATTACCTCGCGTTCAAGTGTGCACTGGTACAACAGTGTAGCATGATCTGCTAGTGTCCAGCCAACCCGCGCCCTCTTCCACCGTTCCTTCCCCTGTCTGTCTCCTTCCCCACCAGACCCGTGCTACGGTGTCAAGTGCCCCCACGTGTCCAAGTGCGCCTTGCAGGGCGGTGCAGTGGTGTGCAAATGTCCCGCTCCCTTCAAGCGTCTGATCAACAACCGGTGCTCCTCTGATGATTATCCCAACTCCGACTACCTCGACCCACACAATGCTGCCAGGGCTGCTGTTGGTGCCGTTCCCCTCGAGTGGGACGACGCAGGTGGGTGGCTTGAGAGTTGACTGTACTGACTGTATTGACTGAGTTGACTGAGTTGACTGAGTTGACTGTGTTGACTGAGTTGACTGGAGGGAAACAACCGGTGCTCCTCTGATGACTATCCCCACCCCGACTACCTCGACCCACACAACGCTGCCAGGGCTGCTGTTGGTGCCGTGCCCCTTGTGTGGGATGACGGAGGTGGGTGGCTTGAGAGTTGACTGTATTGACTGATTTGACTGAGTTGACTGAGTTGACTGAGTTGACTCGAGGAAAACTGCAAGTGCTGCTCCTCCTCTGATATTCCCAACTCCGACTGTCTCGACCCAAACAACGCTGCCACGGCTGCTGTTGGTGCCGTGCCTCTCGTGTGGGATGGCGCAGGCGAGGGACTTATGAGTTGACTAGTTGACTCCAAAGAAGCAACGAGTGCTGCTCCCCTGCTGCTCTTCCCAACTCCCACTATCTCCACGCACACAATGCCACCACGGCTGCTGTTGGTTCCGTGCCCCTCGAGTGGGACGACGCAGGTGAGTGCTCTTTTACTTGACCCAGTGGCATCAACAAGTGCTCCCCTGCTGCTCTTCCCCACCCCGACTATCCGAGCATGGTCGCATGGGGGAGGGCGAGGGGCAGAACCTCTAACCTCCCTTTCCCCCCTTCTTTCCCCCTCTCCTCCCTCTTCCCTCCCCTCACCTCCAGTGGCTGAGAGGGCCCAGGCGTGGGCCGACACTCTCCGCGACGACTATAACTGCGGGCTGGAGCATGGCGGCATGGGGGAGAGTGAGGGGCAGAACAGAACCTCTCAGGCGCACCACACACACCCCCCTCATTCGCTCCCCTTCTTCTTCCCTCCCCTCCCTCCCCCCACCTCCAGTGGCTGAGAGGGCCCAAGCGTGGGCCGACACTCTCCGCGACGACTATAACTGCGGGCTGGAGCACGGCGGCATGGGGGAGGGCGAGGGGCAGAACCTCTCAGGGGCGGGTCCGGCTGGGTGGGCGTCAAACAGCGATGCAGTGCAGTGGTGGGTGGGCGAGGGCAAGTGGTACAAGCGCCCGCCTGCTGTCTTCCCTGCTGGCTGCATTGGTGGTGACTGGGGCAGATGCGGCCACTACACACAGGTGAGGGGCAGGCAGGCAGAACCTCCTAGGCACCAATCTTAGTGGGTGGGCGTCGAACAGCGATGCAGTGCAGTGGTGGGTGGGCGTCGAACAGCGATGCAGTGCAGTGGTGGGTGGGCGAGGGGAAGCGGTACAAGCGGCCCCCTGCCATCTTTCCGGGTGGTTGCATCGGTGGTGACTGGGGCAGATGTGGCCACTACTACACGCAGGTGGGCAGCGTTAGGTGACCGCGTTTGTTGCCTTCTCTTTAGCATAGCCTCAGAAGTCTAGTTTTGAGGCGCCTCAAGGCCTGAATTCTCTTTAGATAGCCTCAGAAGCTTGCTCAAATGTGCCTCGTGCATTGTGGCCGGTGTGTGTGTGTGTGTGTGTGTGTGTGTGTGTGTGTGTGTGTGTGTGTGTGTGTGTGTGTGTGTGTGTGTGTGTGTGTGTGTGTGTGTGCGTGCAGGTGATATGGAACAACTCGCGCCAGGTGGGGTGTGGCAAGGCGTCGTGTGGCGAGGACGGTGACGTGTGGGCGTGCAACTATTACCCTGCTGGCAACTTTGTCGGCGAGATTCCCTATGGTGAGTGTTCGGGTAATGAGAATTGCCTTATGATGAGCTTGCGTCGTGTGGCGAGGACAGCGACGTGTGGGCGTGCGTGCAACTTTTACCCGGTGGGCAACTTTGTGGGCGAGATTCCTTATGGTGAGCTGAGATGACAACTCCGCACTTCAAGATCTCCACTAGTTTTGAGGCGCCTAATGAATGATTTCTTCTTTTGAGTGGATTCCTGCTGGCATCTCTTCTCTTCTCTTCTTCTTCCGAGTGGACTCCTGTGCTGCTGTGAATGGCAAGCCATTCACAGCAGCACAGGAGAGGACTCGATACCACCTGCCCGCTGATCTGTGCTCATGAAGTTTACTCCTCTCCCTCGTTCACAGCAGCACAGGAGAGGACTCGATACCACCTGCCCGCCTCGAGTCCTCTCCTCACCCCTACTCCTCTCCCTTCTTTCCCATCCTATCTCACCCCTACTCCTCTCCCTTCTCTCCTCCCATCCTATCTCACCCCATCCCCCTCTGCAGTTCAAGACCCGTGCTTCCGAGCCCTCTTCCCCTCGTCTTGATACCCCTCCTCACCTTCACTCCTCTCTTATCTGCTCCCATCCCATCCCCCTCTGCAGTTCAAGACCCTTGCTTCCGAGCCCTCTTCCCCTCGTCTTGATACCCCTCCTCACCTTCACTCCTCTCTTATCTGCTCCCATCCCATCCCCCTCTGCAGTTCAAGACCCGTGCTTCCGAGCCCTCTGCCCTTCCACGTCCACCTGTGCTGCTGTCAACGGCAAGCCGGTCTGCCTGTGTCCGCGAGGGCAAGTGCTGGTCAACGGCAGCAAGTGCCAAGCAGGTGAGCATGTGGCGTGTCTTGGATGTATGGCGTGTGTGGCACTTGTCATTGGGTGGGATGACGTGTGGCATGTTGCTGCCAATCCCATCTGCCTGCCTGTGTCCGCGAGGCCAAGTGCTGGTCAATGGCAGCACGTGCCAAGCTGGTGAGCACGTGTGGCGTGTGTTGTATGTGGTGTATGGTGTATGGTGTATGGTGTGTAGCATGTGGCATGTGGGTGGCCTGTGCTTCCGTGAATGGCCATCCCACCTGCCTGCCTGTGTCCGCGAGGCCAAGTGCTGGTCAACGGCAGCACGTGCCAAGCAGGTGAGCACGTGAGCTGAGCTTTGATGTGTGTGAGAAGTCTCTTAAGTCCATTTTGTCTTTTGAGTCGACTCAAAAGCACGTGAGCTTTGATGTGTGTGAGACGTCTCAAAACGCTTTGATGTGTGTGAGAAGTCTCTTAAGTCCATTTTGTGCGAAAGAAGGAGACGTCTCAAAACGCTTTGAAGTGTGTGAGACGTCTCAAAACGCTTTGAAGTGTGTGAGACGTCTCAAAACGCTTTGAAGTGTGTGAGACGTCTCAAAACGCTTTGATGTGTGTGAGACGTCTCAAAACGCTTTGATGTGTGTGAGAAGTCTCTTAAGTCCATTTTGTGCCCTCTTTAGTCCCACTGTCCATTGTGTCCCCTCTTTTGTCCCACTCTCCCTTACCAGCCTCCCTCAGCCCTCCCGTACCAACCTTTTCAGTTGTCTCGCCCCATGCTTGCAGAGATAATACACACTCACGACCTATCCCTCCCACCGTTCTCTTCTTCTCGTTTGACTTGACTCAAAGTCCCTTCGCGTACCAACCTATTCAGCTGTCTCACGCCATGCTTGCAGGAGGTAACACACACACACGACCTAGCCCTCTCGCCTGTCTCTTCCCTTCTCTTCAACCCCTCCAATCCCTTGCAGAACCATGCAAAGGCACGGCTCCATCCCTTCCCTCCCTTTTGGATCAGTGACCTGTCCCTCCCACCTGTCTCTTCCCTTCTCGTCAATCCCTCCAATTCCTTGCAGACCCATGCAAAGGCGCGGCTCCCTGTCCCGGGGACTTTGTGTGTGATGGAACATCGGGTGCGGCCAAGTGTGTGTGCCCCAAGGGAACCGTGCAGATTGCACCCAATACGTGCCAGGGTGAGTGCTGTGCTGCTAAGATGGCGATTTCAGGTTGTTTTTAAGAGTATTACCAATATATATATATATATATATATATATATATATCCACTTCTGCCTCTGCTTACTGCAGGCTGATTGCAATGGCATCCCCTTTTGATCCCCTAGTCTCCACCACTCTCCACCCCTCTTCATCCCTACAGCGCCTTCGTGCAAGGGAGTGAAGTGCCCGGCCTCTGCTCGCTGCAGGGCGGACAGCAACGGCATTCCTTTCTGTGCCTGCCCTGCCTCCCAATCCCTGGTCAACGGAGCCTGCACGAAAGGTACGTTATTCTGAACCGCCCCTCCTTCACCAACGCACCTGCTTCCCTCGCTCCCATCGTGCTCCGAACCCCCACTCCTGCATCGCCCTCACTTCTCGCTCGTCTACCCCCCTTGTTCTCCCTTTTTTCCCTCCCCCACTTGTCCCGCCAGCCGGTCCCCGCACAGTCACCACCAGCATCGTTCTCTTCAGCCGCCCGTCCTTCGCTGGCACTCCCATTGTCCTCCGAGGCCCCACTCCCGACACCGACGACGCCACTGGCTGCGTCAACATCCCTTCTCCCATGGCCGGGACTGTGGGCTCCCTCAAGATTCTCTGGGATGCGCCTGATGGGGCTAAGGGGACGAGGGTGGCTTGTGGTTTGATGTGGTTTTGGAGTGATGCGGATTGCTACGGGGATGCGTCGGGGTGGGACCGGCCGGACAACAATGTTACCATTGCCAAGTGAGTAAATGATTTGGTTGCATATTGTATATTCTATGCCTCATTTGTTTTGGTTGGTAGTGGTTGTACCGTAAGTTGTATGTGTCTTGCTTGCCCGCCTTTTCCATGTGCTCTCTGCTCATTCTTGCTAGTGGTTTCCTGATTTGGTACATTTGTGTTTATCCGGACCCGTTTCAGGGCCACGGATGATGGAGCTGCTGTGGTGCGGGCTATTAGCTGCGGGTCATGATAGGACCAGTCGTTGAAACGTTGTGCCTGTTTTTGAAATAAATTTTGTTTCCAGTAGGTATCTCAAACATTTGCCACATGTTTTCCTGCTTAGTGCTGTGAAAATAAATTGTGCAACCAGAGACACAAATTGTTATTTTACGCAGCCGGGGGAAGCTTCATGTGGGTACCCCCGAGAGGGGCCATCGCGGGGCGGTCCTAGTACCAGCCTGTCAGACTCTGATTGGCTGACGAATTCGTCCTTTTCCGCGAAGCTTCTCCCGGCTGCAGAGGTCGCTCGGCGCGCAGCAGTGGAAGCAGCAGCTCGGCGCGCAGCGGAAGGGCGGAGAGAATGGTTTGATGGGGACGAGGGGAATGAGGGAAGTGAAGGGGAAGGTGAAGAGGAGGAAGAGGGCGAGGAGGGATAAGATGGAGAAGAGGGAGAGTGTTGTGCAGCAAATATGTCCCAGAGGGTAGATTCTCACCTGTGGTCTTAGAGGTTGTGGGTTCAATTCTCAGTAGCTGCAGGTTCCATTCTCATTATGCTCCACATTACATGTCCACACTCTACCACACTCCACCACAGTGAAGTGTGGTCACAGTTGGCATTGCCACCTGTCCACTCATCCCACACTCACCTTGCTGGCCTCTATGGTGTGCCATATGCTGTCATGTGGGCTGTTGTTCCAGCCTGGCCCACATGTGCAACATGTGGCCTCACTTGCTAGCTTGGCAAGGTTGGCTAGCCTAGCCCTCAGCATTGAGGTGCTGCAGCTAGCCTCAAGAGTTCAGCCACATATATGTGGCTTCCCACTTCACTAGGAATCATCCTTGACAAGGACCTTGCTCTAGTCTTTAAGACTTGTACCATTTTCTTGCTAAGGAGATTTCTTCTTCCTATCGTGCCCTAAGTTCACCGATCCACTTTCTTCAGAGAGGAGGAAGGAGAGGGAGGAAGAGTAAGGAAGATGAAGTTTAAGGAAAGCGGTAGTTCGGGGGGGGGGGGGGATAGGAGCGGGGGATTTGGATGGCAGTAGCGAAGGGGACAAGAGGGATAAGGAGCGGGATGTGAGTGTATCTGAAAGGGAGAATAGCGAGGGCACAAGGAAGAAGAAGTAGAGAAGGGAGGAGAAGGGGAAGCAGGGGAAGGACAAGGGACAGGAGAAGGAGGAGAAACGAGAGAGAAAGGGCAAGAGTCGACATGAGAAGAAAAAGAGAAAGAAGAGGAAGGGAGAAAAGGGAGGCTCTTCTAGTGACACTTCCAGGAGTGACAGTAATGAAAGTTGTGACTCTAGCGAGAGTGAGAACGAGGAGGATGTTGGGCTGAGATAGCCCCTTAGGATCTTTGCAAGGGATAACTCTAGGTGAAGTAGTTGTAATAGCGGAAGCGTTTAGTGAAGAATTTGAACCGACCTTGCACTGGTGTGTGAGAGCAAAGTTGATTGAATTAAACAAGCAAATACAAGGATTTATATAAGAGTACAGGGAATAGATAGATAACTGTATTGCTGTTGCGGTTCGATATAGCGCGACTCGGGCAACTGCTCTGTAACGAGTCAGTTGTGTGTCCTTAACTGTCGCGCTGTAATTGTCGAGTCAAAGGTCAGCGACCTTTGACTTTCTCGTAACCTCCAGGCGGTTATCCTAACCTCCGAGGTTGACTCGATGCTTCGATTGGGACTGCTTCGCTTGGTACCTTGGATTTTGATACGACAGAAGCGCACTTAGGACTTATTGTTTCCAACACTCCCCTTCGCTTCTGGAGTGTTACTGCTGGTGACGTGGCCTTGTCCAGTCAGCATCATGCAGTATTCGAACTTCTGCTTGCCGAGTTTCTTGGTCAAGTAATCGGCTGCCATCTCGGATGTTGGACAGTATGACAGATCGAGTTTCCCTTTTTCTATCTCGTCCTTCACGAAGAAATAGCGCAGGGCGATGTGTTTCGTCCTGTTTGCGAAGCCGTTTTTGTTGGCGATGCGAATTGCTGACTGGTTGTCGCAGAACACGGTGAAGCTGGGTAACTCGGCTAGCTTCGCTTCTTCCAGTAGTTCGCGAAGGTAAAGTCCCTCCTTGGTGGCTGAGCAGAGTGCAATATATTCTGCTTCTGCTGAAGATAGTGCGATTAACTCCTGCTTGCTCGACTGCCAGGAGATAGGACCGATAGGCTCAAGGCGGTAGACATAGCCGGTGCGTGAGCGCCTGTTGTCGGTGTCGCCGGCGTGATCGGCGTCGACGTAGCCGATTAGCTTAGTCGGTGTAGCTGCGCTCTTGTGGTAGGTTAGCCCGATCGTCGCGGTGCTGACGAAGTAGTGGAGAGCGCGATCAAGTTCCGCCAGGTGTTCAGCTTCAGGCTTCTTGAGATAGGTGGCGAGCTGACTTGCGGAGTAGGATAAGTCAGGACGGCAGGTGACGGCGGCGAATAGCAGGCATCCGAGCTTCTTCTGATAGTCGCGTATGCCGGCGGGCTTTAGTAGAGTAGTTCGTTCCTTCTCGGTTCCTGATGTGTAGCGGTAGGGCGTGGAGATGGCGCTTGGTGTGAGGCTGAAGCGTTTCGCGATGGTGTCGGCGTATTTCTCGGCGCTTAGATAGATGGCGTTTTCTTCTTCGCGGATGTTGAGCCCGAGGTACTGTGTAACGGTGGAGGAGACCGTGAGCGTGAGGTCTTTCTGGAGCTCTCCTTCGAACCACGTGGCGATGCCGTCGGTTGACCCAATGTAGAGGAGATCGTCCACGTAGACGATCAGGAGAACGTAGTCGCTTCCCTTAGTGAGGCGGTACATGCCTTGGTCGTGAGGTAGTTGACTAAAGCCGATGCGGATGAGACGGGCGTGCAGGTACTGCTGCCACAGTCGCGGTGCCTGCTTGATCCCGTAGAGCGACTTAAGTAGTTGACAGATTCGGTTGGGTTCGCCGTGGGAACCGTGCGGGAGCTCGACGTAGATTTCTGCATCCACAGGTGCGTAGAGGAAGGCATTCGCGACGTCGATCTGCCGTAACTTCTTCTTCTTCATGGCGGCAATGGCGAGGAGAATTCGGAGTGACGTGTGGCGGCTGACTGGAGCAAAGGTCTCGGTGAAGTCTCGTCCTTGCTCTTGGTCGAATCCACGTACGACCCAGCGTGCTTTGAATTTTTCGATCGTGCCGTCTGCTTTCGTCTTGATGCGGAAGACCCATTTCCCGGTAAGGATGGTTTTGTTCCGTGCCACGCTTACGGGAACAACCTTCCAAGTGTTGCGTTCCTCTAATGCCTTCAGTTCTCTATCCATGGCTTCACGCCATTTCTCCCTGTGTTCCCCCCCCAGAGCCTGCTGAACCGTTGCAGGCTCCTTAGGAAGCGAGCTGCGTGTGTTCCCGTGGACTGCGGTGACGAGGCCGAGGATTTGCAGCCCAGTCTGTGAGTATCGAGGGAGTTCTGGATCCTCGGGATAAGCTGCTTCGTCTCCCGTTTCTGGGTCGGGCATGAAATTTGGCCCTACCCTTTCTGCTTCGTTGGTGTTGACTGTCACAGGTGTTACGTAACCATCGTCGGCGAAACGGTAGAAGATTTCGGCGTTGTTACTGTCGCGAGGATTATCCTCATCCATGGGCACGTCGACGGAGCAGTATGGGAGAGGTCCGGCTTCTTCTGAGGCGTTGTCGACGTTCTGTTCATCCCAGTCTGCTTCGTCCGCTGCTGACGCGAAGGCTCGGTCACCACGAAAACCACTGGTGAGGTCCCGATTCTCGTGCAAGTTGGCGAGGTACGTCTGAAGGGTGAGTCTTTCGTAGAAGATCACGTCACGTGCTGCTACTGTTTCCTTTGTGTGGACGTCGAAGATTTTCCATGCGTTGTAATTTTTCTCGATGCCGAGGTGTATTCCCCACTGTGCCCGTTGCGAAAATCTTCCCGCTCGTGCTTCTGGGGGTCTGTACTGTACCATGCACCCGAAAACTCGTAACATTTTCGTGCTGCCCTGCTTCCCTGTCCACAGCAGATGCGGTGATGCGTTGTTCGGGAGTGACGACGACGACAACAAGTTGTGTAGCATGACAGCGTGGTCCATTGCTGCTGGCCACTGGTGGTTGGGTAGCCGCATGCCACGTAATAGTTTGCGCATGCTGTTCTGCAGGGTCCTGTTCAGTCGTTCTGCAACACCTTGCTGCTGATGTGCGTAGGGAAGGGAGAGGAGTTGCTTGATCCCCCTTTCCGCCAAGAACTGCTTGAAGCGGTGAGAGGTGTACTCGCCACCTCCGTCTGACTGGAAATTTTTCAGTTGTGTTCCAGACTCTCTCTCTGCTATCGGTAGCCAGGCGGCGAATGCTGCGAGCGCCATGTCGCGGCTGGGTAGGTTGCGATGCCAGACGTATCGAGTGGCGGCGTCGATGAAGGTGATGGTGTAGTTGTAGTTGACTTGTCCTGGCTCGCGATTGTAGAGGATGTCGCTGTAGACTTTTTCGAGTGGTGCGTACGCTGGAGCGCTCGGGTTGTGATGTGAAGCGAACGGTCGATGAGGTAAGTCAGCTTCGGGACATATAAGGCAAGTCCCTCGTGCCTTCTGGAGTTCTCTGCCATCGGGTAGAAGTAGAGAATCTTTGTCAAGGACTCCTGCTCTTATCGTGTTATTCAAAACCGTGTTGCTTGGATGTCCTGTTCGTGCGTGCCAGATCTCTTCAGAGGCGCGGTGTCCAGGTGAACGCTGATATGCGTCGGAGTTGGAGTAAAAGCTGGCGACGAGGTTGGCGCTTCGGTGGACTTCACGTTGAGTCGGATTCAGCTGTTTCGCGGGTGTTGGTGGTGCTTCGTCGACTGTGACTGGTGTCGTTGTTCCTGCTGCTGCTGATGTTGTTGCTGCTGCCGATGTTGTTGCTGCTGCCGATGTTGTTGCTGCTGCCGATGTTGTTACTGCTGCCGATTGTCGAATTGTTGCTAATGCTCGTGTTCGTTCTGCTTCAGGAATGGTGTGCGAGTACCAGAAGCCTCCTGGGCTGAAGTCGGGGTCGAGATCCGGAGGGTGTGTCCAGTCAGTGAAATTCACGATGGCGTCGCTGTCTGCAGTGCCCAGGTCAGGAACGAAGTCGAGGACGAAGACGTTGTTCTTCAGCACTGCTTTCCCGATGTAGAGACCGCCTCTCCCGTGGTAAAGTTTGAACTCCTGGGTCGTGCTGTCGGCTTCCAGATGAATTCCTTTCGCCATCAACTGGCTAACGCTCAGTAAGTTGTAGCCGAGTCCTTCAGCGATGAGTACCTTAGACATGTGCAGTATGACATTTGTTTCTCTTGACTGAAGCTGTACCACTCCTTGTCTTCGTGTGCGCAGGTTTTGGTTGTTGGCAACCGTGATGATCACTTCCCGTTGGAGTCGATGTTCGCGTTGTACGAAACGCCCGGACGAGCACATGTGTTGCCCGCAGCAACTGTCCAAGAACCAGGTGTCTTGGCCGGACGGTT